TCTATAGGGCCTTACATGGACAAGCACCATCTTACATTGGTGATCTTCTTAGTCCCTGCACCCCCAGCAGGTCCCTGAGGTCCAGTGATCAAAGCCTACTGGTTGTGCAGCACCAGGCTAAAGACCAAAGGTGACAGAACATTTGCTGCTGTGGCCCCCAGACTCTGGAACTCTCTCCCACCTGATCCTGAGATCAGTGGACTCAGTGGTCTCCTTTAAAAAGCAGCTGAAGACTCACTTGTTCAAGCTGGCTTTTGTATGACCTTCTTCACTACCTTCCCCTTATTCTGCTCTTTCTACCTATTCCACCTTCCTCAGGATCCACTGATTTCCCTCTTTCCTATTCACTCTCTCTCTTTCTTAACTTTTTCAATCACAATTGTCTATTTTTGCTCATTTTAAAATATTTTTATCATTTTCTAAATTCTTTTTTATATTTTTACATTTTTGTTTTTGTGAAGCACCTCGTGATTTTTATCTTGAGGGGCGCTATAGAAATGACTTCTTCTTCTTCTTCTTCTTCTTCTTCTTCTTCACTCTCTTGAAACCCTAATTTGTCTAAATGATAAAATACAGAAATGGCCACGTGGATCTGGATTCCCTCATTGACGAGTAGCATAAGAGCAGAAATTTGTGTGAAGCTGCTGTGCAGAAATTGACTGGGCTCTGTCTGACATCTAGTGGATGAATCTGAAATTATTAAAAAATCTAAATACTTATTCAGACCTCAAGCACTGGAAAAACAGAATTCATTACATATTTATTGTGTTCATTTTTATAACTGTAAACATTTGGAGGTGCAACCTGAGTATTTTGTTCTTCTTTTTTTCCCACATAATCTTGTGTTGTAGTTTTTTTAAATAAACGGCATAAACAATGCCAACGTAATTACTCAAAGAATATAATGTTGCTATTGATCGATTAATACCAAAGCATGAACCTATAATGTTTGATCTCATAGTGAAAAGTGAATGGCTGTTTGAGGTAATAAACCAACCCATTTTGTTTTCATAATCATGCCCAACATTATAGTGACATCATCAAGAATAAATAGAAGAATCCAACAAAACTACAGAACTACAAGCAGGAACACGTCCCAGTCCGTTATCTATCCCGAGTTGTGATCTTTATTGTTGAGTTTTTTTCTATTTTTTATCTGGTTCGTTTTACTTCCGTGATCAATGCAAATACATAAATACATCTATGTAGGTATACTGGTATCGGTATCAATAAAAGTTAACCGAAACCGATGCAGTTGTTTGAAAGTGGCTTCACTGTAACTTGCCACTTCTGTTCACCTAATATTTTAGTTTTTTGATCATTTCTATTCATATATTTAACTTTTTATCTACCTTACAGTGTTTTCCTGTTGAAAGCAGAGAAGAAAATAAAATCTGTATTCCAATTCACTGCATTTTTTGGTCTGGTAGAAGTATCGGTATCTGTAATCAGTATCAAAAAGTACTCAGATCCAAGTATCGGTATCGTATCGGTTTGGGAAAATGTGATATTGTTGCATTCCTACATCTATGAATGATTATAACTGTGCAATAACTGATAAATAGGTAGGTCCACAGTCTCATTGATAAATTGATTAATTATATATTGTTTTATTTCATTATTTGCTCTGTAAGCATTTCTTTACACACTTTTTGCAACATGGTCTTTTTTAGACAATTTTATGTTGGCCTTCTGTCATTTTAAGTATTTAGGTTTGAATCATGTTTTTCCCTTCTTCTGTCAAGTGTTGGATTTGCATTTATATAATTTTAAAATATGAATCATATAACATCATCATAATCAGCTGCTCCTCACCCTTTGGCAGCACCGTTCAGCTGTAAATGTTTCAAACTCAGAGCAGAAAAGCTTCTGATTGAGCAGTTTATGCTTTGTTTGTTTGCTTTTTGTTTGCAAGTTTTGAATTAAAACGTTTTTCCTCTGTTCTTAATATTATGTATTTAACCTAAATCCAGTCTCCTCTCTGAGTTTTACAGGAAGAAAACCAGCAGAAATCCAGATCAGACGTTAGTGTGAATATTTAACCCTCTCAGGCTCAAAATGAGTTTTGATAAAAGGACGAACAACTAAGTCCTTCAGGGGAACTTCTGAGTTAAAAAATGTACATGAAATACGTATGTGGCGTAACCAGGTAGGTAGGTTTTAACATTGCAAATCTGCAACGCCTGCCTCCAGAGGGTTAATCTACAGACATGATTAAACACTTTATTTAACTGAATTCATAAATGACTCACCAGGTCCATTTCAGCTCCCAGTGCTATGCTACAGAACACCACCTCATAAACACGTATGCTGAAGATGTATTGACTAGTTAAAGGACTTCTTTTTTCAGCTTCATGTCACTGAGGCTGACGTCACCGCCTGACCTCATTCAGTTTAGTGTTGCCACTGTGAACTTTGGACATGATGAAAGTGTACAGAAAGTCAATTTGGCCCACTCATATCACACACACACACACACACACACACACACACACACACACACACACACACACACACACACACACACATACATTTGTTTTCCTTACAATGCGCTGTTGAGTCATTGTGCACAGTGCACGTTCATCACATTTTCTAATCATCTCCAAAGGCGAAACACTGGATTTAGAGCTGAGAGACTTACCCATACTCTTTGCTTACCAGACCACTACCTTCACTTTGAAAACAGCTTTATCTCTTATAGTAGAACCTGACAGAAATACAACAGGGACAAAGTTCACATCCAAATTCACTTTCACCAGGTCAAAGTACAGAGCAGGTTAACAGCTGAAATGATGAAACGTCTGGACAAACAAGTTAAAGGAATAGAAAGTAAATCAGCAACTGGTAGACATTTGCAGCCAATTATAAAAGAGTTGTGGTGAGAACTAAAACAGCAGGAAAGTACCAACCTGTAGAGAAATGTGACTTCTTCATGTTCAGTATTTAGTGTGATAAACAGGAATTCACAGCGCACCCATTCCTGTTTAGACAAACTGTCTGAGAGCTTCGACAGAGATACGCTTTTAGCAGGCCGTTGGAATGATCCTCGTAGTTCTAAGGAAAGTATAATATGAAACTATAGTTAAAGCTATTATATTTATATATATAAATAATTCCCATCTCACCCTCCGTGGGTGGTGTCATCCTTCCAAGCTCAGGTCCTCTACCAGAGGCCTAGAGCTTGAGGGTTCTGCAGTAGCTGTTCCTAGACTGAGATGTCTGTTTTTCTGCTTTAGCCACTCCTCTAGTTTGGGGGTTACTGCCCCGATGACCGCAGGTACCACCGACATCTTCACTCTCCAGGCTTTCTCTAGTTCTTCTTTGAGGCCCTGATACCTCTCTAGTTTCTCATGTTCCTTTTTCCTGATGTTGCCATCACTTGGTACTGCTACATCGATCACAACGGCTGTCCTCTGTTTGTCCAGTTGTTCCAAGTGAGAACGTCTTCTCAGCTGCAGTCAGAAGCTCTAAACTGATGTTATAAAACCTTGTCTTGCTAGAGAAGCATGTGCACATAAGGTCTGTGATCAGACTCTGTTAGCATTAAAAGCAGCACACTGGATATACTTCATGTGATTCAGGGAAGTCCTATGTGTTTGTGATTGGATGTTTATATTTGTGTTTGTGGAAAGTTCTGTTTGGCAACACAGCTTGAAAACAGAGATCTGGAGGGCTTGTACGTGGCCTTTAGAGGAACTGCTGTCAGCAGTGACAGCCAAACCAATTCATTATTTACCAGATTTTTTAACTATTTACTTATTATTTACAACCGCCCTAAACTCAAGAGAAGCTGTGTGTGTGTGTGTGTGTGTGTGGGGGGGGGGGGGGGGGGGGATGGTCGGCAGGTAAAGGAGAGCATTAGAACCAGGAAAATCTGGTGGGTGATTCAGAAAAGTCATCCCAGGGACATTGAGCCAAAATCTCACTCCTTGCTCTGGTTCTCAAAAAAAGTCCTGGTGCTTAGTACCAGGCATGCAGCAGTGCACGACTCTGGGCAGAAGCAGGAGTCATATCTGAGCACATGAACTCAACCAGAACCATGAGGAGAAGCGACCGGATGCAGAGAAACAGGCCTGTGGATGAGAGCCCCTCTCACTTTTAATTTGTTTTATTTTGTTTTGATCTATGTGAAGCACTTTGTTGTTCTATGTCTGTGATAAGTGTTATATAAATAAAATGTACTTACTTACTCAATTGGAGTTGATCACCGCTCAGCTACAGCATTCGCATCTGCTTACAGGATGGTGTTCGAGCTTGGCAAAAAACGAATCAAAGAACAGGGTAAGACTATCTCTCTTTTTAAACCTTTAAAGCCATTCTGCTTCTTGCTTTTTATGAATTTCTAAAATGCATACATTCGGTAAAAGATAAAAACTCCACATTTATGCAGAATGAATAGCTGCACCTGTAAACCTCAAGGGTTTTCTTCCTGCTGAAATCACCTTCTCAGATGTCTCAAACTGCATTCTTTTCGGAACTAATGTTTTCTCATCCATGCATCATTGTGTTTCAGCTCCGGAAATACAAGAAATGTTTGTCTTAACACGTCAAAGATATATAAGAACACGTAGCAATGCATGACTTCTTTGATTATTATTTGATACACTGGCTTGCCTTAAAATATTATTTGATACACTGGCTTGCTATAACACCGTGAAACATCTTGTTTCCTGTTGCGTCACTTTTTCTAGAAAATGACCGTGTGAATTATTGTTATTATTATTGTTGTTGTTGTTGTTGTTGTTGTTGTTGTTGTTAACTTTTCTGGTAGTTCGGTTTCATCAGCCTTCCCGTCGTTACCAACATGAGGCAATATTGCGTGATATTCGTACGCTGCGGCACGTTTCCGTCGCGTCAGCACGCAGAGATGAACTGAATCCAGACCGGACAGGCTGCGGGGGACGCAGTTAAGAGCGCACCAGTGATTGACAGCCGTCTGGGGTCTTCATGAAGGGTAGACCTCCTCTGCGGAGCCTGTCCGGGCTCCACCCCCACCCCCTTCACCGTATTGGGTGCGTTCAGATGGTCAGTCACCTGGAGCCCACCTCCTCCGCGCGCCACCATGCCCCGTTATTTAAAGAGCTCCACCATGAGATGAACTACCATCATAGAGTGTTACACGTAGGGAAGTTTTCGTTTCCAGGAGCAACATGGAAAGAGGTATGCGCAGACTGTTTTACTGGTTGTGACGTTGTCTGGGTGGGAATATTGACACAAAGTTAGGGCTTTGTTCGAGCTGCCACGTGCTGTTTTTGTTGTAATTGTTCACTCAGCTGGTTTAACAGTAATCCATACTGGGAGCACTGGGCTGGAATGTAAATGATCCCTGGAGCGCTGTCAGCTCCAGTTTTCACCTGCAGCTATTCTGATTTGATTATTTTAGGCAAAGGAAATGTATGTTGTTTTATAAATGGCATATTAAATAAAGGTTTAAAGTTGTTTTAGTTTTTATGATACAAAGTAAGCTGTCAGTTTTAAAAGCAACACATTAAAAATGAGATTATCGGATTATATTACTTTTTGAAATTTACTTAAAGTTTGTTTGTTTGTTTTTGTTTGTTTTTTAATCAAACCTCTGGAAACATTATTCATGGATTACAAACATATTTGGGGGATTTTGGCACATTTTCACAAAAATTTATTTCTAATTTAATTTTAGTCCAGATTAAAAACTCATCAGTGAATTTATACCAACCATAAGCCTAAACGACTCCCTAACCTTTGATTGGGAACACGTGTTAACTAAAGGTGGCATAATCTATTTCGACTAATGGTTAGTCCATGAGAGAGAATGCCTTTAAAGGAGTTTATGTTTGGTGATGTAACTGAAAAAGTTGGTTTGAAATTAAGTTCAAGTTACAAAATACATGTGAATACTATATTTGTCCACATTGGCATGAGTCCCAGAGGTTCAAAAGTTCTAGATAAACAAAAGCTCGTCCTTTTAGGAGCGATAAGATCGATCAAATTTATACAGCAGTTATTCTGATGTATTTATTGTAATTAAAGTTTCCTAGTTTTATTTTTACTTGATTAAGCTGTTGGAGAGTTCCTCCTGTCGTTTTGTCGTCCTCGCTTGTTTGGCAGTTCGCAGCAACATGACAGAGTTCTGGAAGGAGCACTCCAAGGACGCCACGATGGAGGAGATGATGCTGGATTCTCGCGCCAGGGAGCTGACAGAGCAGGAGCTGCCAGAAATCCTCTCCATGCTGCCTCCTCTGGACGGGTACCGAGTTCTGGAGCTGGGAGCTGGGATCGGGTACGCACACAGCTGCCTTAGACTGAGAACACCTGTCATGTCAGTGTCTTATACGAGACACAACAGAGGAAAAGGAGGATTTCTGATACATGTACAAATATAATATAAATTCTCATCTTGTCTGAACCAACCAGCTAAAGTTGCCCGACTGCAGTGCACTGTACATATGTCATATAGAACACTGCCATGTGCCTCCGCAGCCGTTACACCAGCCACCTGCTGACCATGGCCACCCACGTGACGACTGTGGACTTCATGGAGAGCTTTGTGGAGAGGAACAGGAGGGACAACGGTCACCATGGAAATGCCACCTTTGTTCAGGCTGACGTAACAAAGCTGGCTTTACCTCACCACAGGTGCATCTGACGATTTCTTAGAATATGTTTCAAGTGCTTTACACCTTTTTATTATTACCTTTTTATTTTCTTAAATGTGAATAGAAGAGAAACGGTGTGTGTTCTAAGTATTTTGATCAACGTCATTATTAGGGATGTGTATTGGTGAATAGGGTTGTCACGGTATGAAAATTTAACCTCACGGTTATTGTGACCAAAATTATCACGGTTTTCGGTATTATCGCGGTATTTTTTAAACGGTGTTGCATATGTTCAGAAAGCATTGATAGTCCTGTTCTACACAAACAGAAATAGTTTAGAAAAGGTTTAACAGTGTTTATTAAGCCTAAAATAACACAAAGCCTTAGCAAAAGTGCAACTTTTCACAAGTAAAGGAACAAATAGCTTCTTTTTCTGGAACGTGTTACAGTAGTCAGTGCAGGTTTAAATTATACAAATCCAAACATTCAAAACATAAACAATATGTAAACAAATCAAAGAAACACCACTTGTTTTCTCATATACTTGTTTTCTTCATTATCAAAATGAAAATCTAAAACTCCAGTCCACACTTGACTTGAGCGCTGTACAAGTCAACCTTAAAAAATATGTATTTAAAATAAATAGCCACTTTAAACAAATTACTAAAATAACTACTACACTATGTAATCAAATCCAAATGTTCAAGTATAAATGGCATTGAATAAGTAAACAAATCAATGACAAGGAACTAATTGTATATTTCTCTTCATCATCAACAAATAAGATGCTTCATACAGCAACAGGGTGTCCGTGACACGGTTTAAATGCTGGCAGAGGACGCTGCGGCTGCAGTATGTAGTGACTCGTTGCATTCTCCCTCAACCAAAAGTCCTCACGTCATGCATTTAAGCTAAAATGCTAATGTTAACTTACCTTGCACTGGCTCTAGAGACGTGGGTGATGGTCACGCAGATGTGCCATTCGATTCGAAGTGTTGCTGCCTTTTGCAGACACTTGTTTCCTGCACGTTCTGCAGACGGGATAGCCGTCTTCTATTAACTGTCCCTCAGCGTTTTTCAGAAATCCAAAATATGCCCATACTTCCGATTTAGTCTTCTTTGAGGGCTGATGAGTGTCCTGGGCGCTGCAGTCTCCTCCTTCGGCCATTATTTCAGCTTCAAAGTTTTGGTGCCGTTGCAAACTAAACAGTGTGTGCGCGCGCCGCGGGAACTTCAGCTGAAGCGACGGTGGCTGGTTAGGGTCATCGCGCCGAAACCGCGGCCACGGTAAACCCACCGAGATAATATAGTTTTTTAAAAACTGGACGGTTATTTTTATTGTCAACTTTTTTACCGGGGTTTACCGCTATACCGGTTACCGTGACAACCCTATTGGTGAAATTCTGGCGATACAATACGTATTACGATACGGGGAGACGATACAATATATCACGATATATTGCGATACATTCAGTCAGACGATATTGGCGATTTTTTAGACTAAATTTATTATAGGAAAATTCAATAAACAGTCCAAACTGATACTTAACATGTTTAACCATAATAGAGGGATTTACATTTCAATGGTACAAACAAAACCCATTACACACTGCTGCCAACTAGTGGTCGGTGTTTGCATTGCACCACAAGAAAAGAAAATACACAAATGTTTCCATGTAAATTCTTCCAAAAATTAGATACACGACTTTTTAATATCGATACATATTGCAAGAAAAATATCACGATATATTGCGATATCAATATTTTCGATACACAGCTTTTGAATATCGATGTAATATCGCTGGGGAAAATATCACGATATATTGCCATAATAGACATTTTCTTACATCCCTGGTCATTATCTATCTTACATGATCACCAAGTCTGGGCCTTAAGCTTCCACTTTTTGTACATGTAACTTAACAAGACAAAAAATACAGTGACTGACAGGATGTCATAAAACCAATGCTGCTGAGTAGAAAAGTACCAAAATAAAGCGCTACTGCATGTTTACACACAGATAAATATATTGTACTAATTTTAAGGGTATAGGCAGAGAAGAAAGACAGCAGAAAGGGGAACTGTAGTCAAAATGTCATCTAGCAATCTATGCCTATTACTGCATAACTAAAGGGATGAGCCATGATAACCCAAACTATGAGCAGGAAAGTCTTAAGGATAGTCCTAAACAGAGGGTGTCTGCCTCATGGACGAGAATTGAAAGCAGGTCTTACTAAAACCGAGCCAGAGAACCGATACTATTTTATAGTGCATCCTCCCAAAACGTGATGAAACGTGATGTACAAGCTGTAGAACACAAAAACTAAACCATTAACACTAATTGTCCCTGAGCCAACGAAGATAAGGAACTTGCATATCATCAAAACAAACCTCAACATGTTTAAAAGATGAAGATGTAGCCTTAGATTAAAACAAGTCAAACTGCTCTAATTTCTATACTCTTTAAATACTTGTTTATAGGCCATTAAGCATTAAATGGCTTATTTAATTTTTTTCAGCATTAACTTCATCTTCTCCAATTGGCTGCTGATGTACCTGAGTGATGAAGAGCTGACGTGCTGTCTGGAGAAGATGCTCAACTGGCTGCAGCCTGGAGGTTTTCTCTTCTTCAGAGAGTCCTGCAACCATCGCTCAGGTACTGGACTAAAGAAAAACTTGCATCAGTCGCGGCGTTCAGGTCGGTCACAGGCAGATTCACTTTAACTTTCTCTAAAGGTGACTGCAAAAGAGACTTCAACCCCACTTGTTATCGCAGCGAGGCCCAGTACAGTCACTTAGCAACATCAGCGCAGGTGGAGGCCTCGGATGGGAGCCAAACGTTTGGTTTCGAAATTGTGTTTAAAAAGAAAGTTCAGACATATGTCGAGGTACGGTAAAAGCTTTAACTGTCTAGTAATTAAGGCATTTAGCAGATATTTAATAAACGTGTGACAAACAGCGTGTTCTGGATTTTGTTTCAGATGAAAAACAATCCCAATCAGATCTGCTGGCTGCTGCAGAAGGTCCCTCGCTCCTCCAGCACATCAAACAGATTCAGCACCTTCCAGCAGTTCCTGGACAACCAGCAGTACACCAGACGAGGCATCCTGCGCTACGAGAAGATGTTTGGGGCTGGTTATGTCAGCACAGGGGGACCCAGCACCACCAAGGTAGAAGGGAGATGTGGAAGGCTCTACAGAAGGATGGAAAATGACTAAAATACAGTTCATGTCTTTGTATTTGCTACAAATGACCTTCAGGAAAAACAGAGGTCGTTAGTAGAGCAGCTTTATCAGAGGAAACTCCTCCATCATCCAGCAGCTTCTCGCTGAAACATATGTCATCTTTGTCCATGAGAGGCTGCACAGTTCTTCAGTTTCTTCATTTACTTTGACAAAAACAGAACATTGTTCATGTTCGTGCAGGAATTTGTGGACCTGCTGAACCTTAAGCCTGGACAGAAGGTTCTAGATGTCGGTTGTGGTATTGGTGGAGGAGACTTCTACATGGCCAAGGTAAGAGACCCTAAATCTGCGACAACTACTGCAAAAAACTAAATGAATTCAAGTGTTTCCTAAAATGAAAATGAAAGCATGATGATGGTACATTTCAGACCTTTGGGGTGGACGTTCTGGGCTTGGACCTGTCTGACAACATGGTGGACATCGCCATGGAGAGGGCAAGAACTGAGAGGCTGCCATCAGTATGTTTATTTTTCGATCTTCAGTTTGTTTAAAATGAAACTTAAATGCTTTGTCAGAAACATATGTAACATCTGTGGGACGTGTTTGAAATGAAAACAACATAAATCCACATCTAACTTCAGGTGCAGTTTGAGGTAGCTGATGCCACAAAGAGGACGTTTCCAGAAGGTTCATTCGATGTGATCTACAGCCGAGACACAATTTTGCATATCAATGATAAATTGGCACTTTTCAAGCGTTTCCACGTGAGCATTTTTTGTTTGTTTGTTTGTTTGTTTGGATGAATATTCCATCTTGCAGCATTTTTGCCACCTTATTAATCCTCTATTCTTTTTCCACTTCACTTATCCTTGTCCTTGCATCCAGTCATGGTTAAAACCAGGCGGCCAGCTGCTCATCAGTGACTACTGCTGTGGAGAAAAGCCCTGGACTCCAGCGTTCGAGGCTTACGTCAGACAGAGAGAATATGTCCTGTATACACCGTCAGAGTACGGCAAGGTAAACCAGCAGACAAATATCATCATTTATATTAAATAAAAGAGCTGGCCTAGTCATCTGACTTCTTTAATTTAATTCTAAAAATGAATTAATGTGGTATGAGATCATTTATTTTCTACTACAACACACCTGGTCACATGGTGAAGAAACCTGTTCAGCTCAAGGTGTGTTACAGCAGGAAAACCTCTCAAATTTAGAGCATCAATCACAAGGGCTGGGCCCTGTTGTGAATGTGTAGTACTGTAACCTATCAGATGGTGGTGCTGTTCCCTCTCTACATTACCTCTGCTCTGTCCCAGTTCCTCCAGCAGGCGGGGTTCTGCAGTGTTCACATGGAGGATCGGACAGCCCAGTTCATCCAGGTGATCCAGACTGAGCTGCAGAGAGCAGAGGCCATTAAAGAGGAATTCATTCAGGTTCAAGGACACGTCATATATGCAACACAAGTTTTGCTTTGACTGGGATAGAAAACTCCATGAGAGAGCTTTTAAAGACTTCTCTACATGCCTGTCATTTTCCCATGCAGGAATTTTCTGAGGAGGACTATTTTGCAATTGTTGACGGCTGGAAAGAAAAGCTGGAACGTTCTAAAACTGGAGACCAGCGATGGGGACTCTTTCATGCCATCAGGAAATGAAGGACTTTTACATAAAGTGGAGGAGAGAATAAAAAATTAAAGATTTCTTCTCGCTTGAATTTTATTACAAGTGTTTTACAACTAGTTTTAATCTCTTGAAAGGAGCTAACATCGACAAAGATGGGAAACTTTTTATAACAGAGCCTGGTGTTAGCCACAGCTTGTTTCCCTCCTGCGGTTAAATCCAACACAAACTAGCAATCGTTTGGTGTGATTCTTTTATGTGCTGAACAGCTAAATTTAACGGGGTAATCAGGGGGGTTGACAGTGAGCTGTGGATAATCATGTTTTAACCATGACAATGAGATTAGCCATCTCAGCTTTCCTCTAGTGAGGATCAATACCATTAAAGTGCACAATAATGTTTATTTAAACTAAAATAAGTTTGTATTTTTGAAATTCCATCTGTGTTTGTAGTTTCTGGCTCGCCACACGATTAAGAATTTGTCTTATTCCAGTAACAGTGTTCTTTGATGCTCTACACTTGTTTACAAATACATTATACCTGATAAAGATTGTTAAAATACCAACAGCAGCACAAGCTCTTTAAAGAAAAGTGTCATTCTGGACAAAGCCTGTGTGAACAAATCTAACAGAACTAATGAGTGATTTGTGAATATTAGCTCTGAGGTTGTTGACACTGACGTTCCTGGGAAACCCGTTTTGTAGGCATCCTGGTATTTAGCTGCATCAACAGGTCTAAACATCATGGTGGTGAGTCATGTTTGACTTACAGACAGTACCATTAGTAACTGCTGCAAGGGGTTCAATTAATTAACACGTGAAAAATTCACTGCTCAAAAGTAAAGGGAGCATTTCAACAACACAATTAACTCAAAGTCACTTCTGTGAAATCAAACTGTCCCTGTAGGAAGCAATGCTGATTTCTCCTGCTGTTTTGCAAATGGAATAGACGACAAGTGGAAATGATAAGCAATTAGCAAGACATCCCCAATAAAGGAGTGCTTCTGCAGGTGGGGATCACAGCTAGACCACTTCTCTGTTCTTCTGCTTTCTGGCTGATGTTTTGGTCACTTTTGAATGCTGACGGTGCCTTCGCCCTGGTGGTAGCATGACACAGAGGAACAGGAAGAGCACTGGCAGAATTCTGCACAATGACCTGTAGGCTACAAATGTGCACAAGTCTGCTCAGACAGAAACAGACTCCATGTTTTTAGACTGTGTGGTGCGCGTGGGCACACACGCACACAGTGTAGCCTGGCGTTACAGATGATAATTAAATACCACCTGAACAGAGATGAATGCTATGTACATCCCCACTGCTTATATTATCTCACTATGCAATAATTTAAATCTTTAAAAAGTATTTATCATTGTTCAAATTTTACCTGCACTCCTTCCTGGTTGCATTGTGCTTATATTGTTGCAGATTCATTTCTCAACACTTTGGACCAATATATTACATTTTTAGAACTTTTTTCATTACGTTTTCCTTTAATTCTATATTTCTTTAATTATTGCCCAATCTAAAAACAGTGCTGAATTCTATTTTCATGTGAGGTGTCAAAACAAACCTGTTCATCCCTGATTAGCTAATTATTACTGATTATTAATCTATTTGGATTGCTGGAGAGAGAATTGGTCCAGAGATCTTTGTTACTGTTTAGATTTACAAAGACACAGATAAGAAAATTACTGGTGACAGGAAACCGCAGGAGCAACTGGAAGACCCACAGCTGCAGGTCTCAGATGAAAACACAATTTGACGGATTTGTGTGTAAATTAAGATGACGTAGGACTTCGGATGTCTTACAAGTCGGCTCAAACGGACTTCCTCCGCGCGAGAGCCAAATGACGTACCCACCACAGCGCGCGCATGCCTGCGTGTGTGTGTGTGTGTTTGCTACGCACCTTCTGTCAGTGAACACACACCACAAGAGGCAATATTTTCATTGACAAAACATGGCGAGGCTGAGCGAGCAGGGTATTCGGCTGAGTTCCGTGAGTTTTTAATCAGATAATTAAACACATTTAGCTGTTTTATTTTATCGAGTTGCATAGAGGGGCATGTAAGAGGAAGAAGATTTTTATTGGACAATGAAAGGTAGACTATGTTTGTCCTTTCTGCAGATGAGCCCTTCCTTTCTGAACAGCAACTCCACCAGTCACACCTGGCCCTTCAGCGCGGTGGCAGAACTCATAGGTGAGCCTGTCGGTGTGGATTGCGCTTTCCCTCGTGCACCTGCGCGCTGCTGAAGAGACTTTCTTCTCGGTGTCAGTCTCTTCCGCTGCTGCAGTGAGTAAACTGCGTGCTTGAGTTCAGATGGACTTCCTCCAACGAGCACAATCTGCGCCTCTGCAGCGGGACGTCTGCGTATTTATGTTTTTGTCTAAAAGAGTTTTTCTTGCTGTTAGTTTAAGATTTTTCTGCACACCAAGCAGCATGTTTTTGTCTCATTGGATCTGAACTTGTTTTTGTTTTGTATAATGAGTTGATTGATTGCTCACGAATCGGCTCTTTGTGCTTCAACATGTCATAAACCATGTCTGGTTTGTCAACTTTGTCATCCCTCCACTCTGTGCGCTTTCATTGGCTCAGACGTCACCGCCATTAGTGAGCTGCTGGCTTTTGACAGCAACTGCTAGAGGGGTGGTGTAGGTAAGCTTCACAGAAATCAAGCTACTGATGTCTGAGTCCTTAGAGATGCTTACAGATCCCTGGATCTGGGCTCTAAACTCACCTCAAGGCTTTAACATCCGTATATTATAGAACAGAAAATATGCCCCAATCCGGCAGAATGCACTATTACAGTTTGCTGTTGTTGTTTTAAGTATATTTTGGTCATTTAAAGTACTACAATTTTAAATCCTGTTTAACTCAAAAGCATCCTGAACAGCCTCTGGAGAAATGGAGTCAACACTAAAGTAGTCTTACAGTGACAAGGTGTATTTTTCCTAGTGATAGGCGGCAGTACATACCTAAATCATTGCAAGCAAGCCATATCTTTTGTTCGAGTAACCAACGGATGGCCGTTCGGGTAAAAAATCTCTGGGAGTGCAACCTCCAGCAAAATGACAAGCACATCAGACTCCCTTTCAGGGTTCGAATTACAGGGGAGCTAAGGGGAGCCCGGGCTCCTCTGGAAGCCCTCAACTCACACACCCAGTTCGTTCCAAAGTAACACAGGAGGTGAAAATATTAGCCAAGTAAACTAGACCAAATTCTTGCTTTGCAAAGTTTGGTCTAGGCACGCTCCAATGGAACCTCCGCGGTTCCTACCAGGACTCTGGCTGGCCAAGCACAGCTCTCTAGAGGGGTTTCAAACACATAAAGAGCTGTGATTGGTCCATAATGGTGGGCCAATCATAGTGTTCTATCTGCTTAGTGAACAAATCACAGAGCTTTATCCGCTTTGTGGGCCAATCAGGGCACTCTATATGCCTGGTGGGTGGGATGATGCAGCAGAGTGAAACAAGAGTATGTCACATTCGTTGTCCAGTGGAATGCGGAGATCATTTGAAAGACAACGGTAGAACCCGCCCCACAACCGAGAGCCGTCAATGGAGCGTTGCAGGAAGCCAGGCAGCAGTTTTTCTGTAGGATTGAGAGGAGATGCAGGAAGAAAAGGGACAGACAGGACAGGAAAATTGGAAAAGAAAACAAAACAAAGTGTTTGAAAAGGAAAATGTAGGTACATTTACCCCACTATATGTTTTTAACTTTATAAAGCAATCATCTATAAGCATGTAATATTTATATATTTGATACAAGTCAAGTCCTCCTTGAACCGTCACCTTATCGTGGTGGAGGAGTTTGAGTGCCCTAATGATCCTAGGAGCTATGTTGTCTGGGGCACTTAGTGCCCCTGGTAGGGTCTCCCATGACAAATTGGTCTTAGGTGAAGGGTGAGACAAAGAACGGTTCGAAGGATCTTTCATGGCGGTGAAAACGAAGAGTCGGAGTACCCGGCCCGGAGGGTTACCGGGGTCCCACCCTGGAGCCAGGCCTGGGGTTGGGGCCCGTGAGCGAGCGCCTGGTGGCCGGGCTTTCGCCCATGGGGCCCGGCCGGGCCCAGCCCGAACCGGATACATGGGCTCGTCCAACTGTGGACTCACCACCTGCAGGAGGAACATGAAGGGTCCGGTGCAATGTGAATCGGGTGGCAGACCAAGGCGGGAGCCTTGGCGGTCCAATCCCCGGACAAGAAAACTAGTTTTTGGGACATGGAACGTCACCTCGCTGGCGGGGAAGGAGCCGGAGCTTGTGGCAGAGGTTGAGCGGTACCGGCTAGATATAGTCGGACTCACCTCGACACATTGCATTGGCTCTGGAACCCGAGACCTGGAGAGGGGTTGGACACTCTACTTTGCTGGAGTTGCTCCGGGTGAGAGGCGGAGGGCTGGGGTTGGCTTTTTGTTAGCCCCGAGACTCTCTGCCTGTGTGTTGGGGTTTACCCCGGGGGACAAGAGGGTAGCTTCCTTGCGCCTTCGGGTCGGGGAACGGGTCCTGACTGTTGTTTGTGCTTATGGGCCAAATATCAGTTCAGAGTACCCACCCTTTTTGGAGTCCCTGGGACGAGTGCTAGATAGTGCTCCATCAGGGGACTCCATTGTCCTGCTGGGGGACTTCAATGCTCACGTGGGCAATGACAGCTTGACCTGGAGGGGTGTGATTGGGAGGAACGGCCCACCTGATCAGAACTCGAGCGGTGTTTTGTTATTGGACTTCTGTGCAAGCCGCAGTTTGGCCATAACGAACACCATGTTCGAACATAAGGATGCCCACCGGTACACTTGGTACCAGGGCAGCCTAGGTCACAGGTCGATGATAGATTTTGTAGTCGTATCATCTGACCTGCGGCCGTATGTTTTGGACACCCGAGTGAAGAGAGGGGCGGAGCTGTCAACTGATCACCACCTGGTGGTGAGTTGGATCAGATGGCAAGGGAACATGCCGCGTAGACCTGGCAGACCCAAACGCATAGTGAGGGTCTGCTGGGAACGCCTGGCAGAAGAACCTGTCAAGACGGTCTTCAACTCCCACCTCCGGCAGAGCTTTGACCACGTCCCGAGAGCAGTGGGGGACATTGAGTCCGAGTGGGCCTTGTTCCACTCTGCGATTGTCGAGGCGGCTGTTGCTAGCTGTGGTCGTAAGGTGGCCGGTGCCAGTCGTGGTGGCAACCCCCGTACCCGCTGGTGGACACCAGAGGTTCGGGGAGCCGTCAGGCTGAAGAAGGAGGCCTACAGGGCGTGGCTGGTCTGTGGGTCTCCGGAGGCAGCAGACAGGTACCGGATAGCCAAGCGGGGTGCAGCAGTGGCAGTTGCCGAGGCAAAATCTCGGGCGTGGGAGGAGTTTGGTGAGGCCATGGAGAAAGACTATCGATCGGCTCCAAAGAGGTTCTGGCAAACTGTCCGGCGCCTCAGGAGAGGAAGGCAGCAACTCGCTCACACTGTTTACAGTGGGGATGGGGAGCTGCTGACGTCAACTGAGGCTATAGTCGGACGGTGGAAGGAATACTTTGAGGAGCTCCTCAATCCCACCAATGCGCATTCCGAGGAGGAACCAGAGCTGGGAGGCCTGGGGATGGACTGTCCGATCTCGGGGGCAGAAGTTGCTGAGGTAGTCAAACAACTACACAGCGGCGGAGCCCCGGGGGCGGATGAGGTTCGTCCTGGGTATCTCAAGGCTATGGATGTTGTAGGGCTGTCATGGTTGACACGTCTCTACAACATTGCGTGGTCATCGGGGGCAGTTCCTAGGGAGTGGCAGACCGGGGTGGTGGTCCCCATCTTTAAGAAGGGTGACCTGAGGGTGTGTTCCAACTATAGGGGGATCACACTCCTCAGCCTCCCTGGAAAGGTCTACGCCAAGGTACTGGAGAGGAGGGTCCGATCGATAGTTGAATCTCAGATAGAGGAGGAGCAATGTGGTTTTCGTCCTGGCCGTGGAACTGTGGACCAGCTCTATACCCTTGCAAGGGTGATGGAGGGGGCATGGGAGTTTGCCCAACCAATCCACATGTGCTTTGTGGATTTGGAGAAGGCTTATGACCGTGTCCCCAGGGGCACCCTGTGGGGGACGCTCCAGGAGTATGGGGTGGGTGGCTTTCTGTTAAGGGCCATTCAGTCCCTTTACCAGAGGAGCGTGAGTTTGGTCCGCATAGCCGGTAGTAAGTCGGACCTGTTCCCAGTGAGGGTTGGACTCCGCCAGGGCTGCCCTTTGTCACCGGTTCTGTTCATCACTTTTATGGACAGAATTTCTAGACGCAGCCGTGGTGTGGAGTGTGTCGAGTTTGGTGGCAGGAGAATCTCGTCTCTGCTTTTTGCGGATGATGTGGTCCTCCTAGCTTCATCCAGCTCTGACCTTCAGCTCTTGCTGGGTAGGTTCGCGGCCGAATGTGAAGCGGCTGGGATGAGGATCAGCACCTCCAAATCTGAGACCATGGTTCTCGACCGGAAAAGGGTGGCTTGCCACCTCCGGGTCGGGGGAGAGGTCCTACCTCAAGTGGAGGAGTTTAAGTATCTCGGGGTCTTGTTCACGAGTGAGGGTAGGAGGGATCGGGAGATCGACAGGCGGATTGGTTCGGCGTCTGCAGTGATGCGGACGCTGAGCCGATCTGTCGTGGGGAAGAGGGAGCTGAGCCAGAAAGCCAGGCTCTCGATTTACCGGTCGATCTACGTCCCAATCCTCACCTATGGTCATGAGCTTTGGGTAATGACCGAAAGAACGAGATCGCGGATACAAGCGGCCGAAATGAGTTTCCTCCGTAGGGTGGCCGGGCTCAGCCTTAGAGATAGGGTGAGGAGCTCGGACATTCGGGAGGGACTCGGAGTAGAACCGCTGCTCCTCCGGATCGAAAGGAGCCAGTTGAGGTGGTTTGGGCATCTGGTCAGGATGCCTCCTGGACGCCTCCCCGGGGAGGTGTTTCGGGCATGTCCTGCCGGCAGAAGGCCCCCGGGTCGACCCAGGACACGTTGGAGAAGTTACATCTCCAATCTGGTCCGGGAACGCCTTGGGGTCCTGCCGGAGGAGCTGGTGGACAAGGCCGGGGAGAGGACGGCCTGGAGCTCCCTAGTTGGGATGCTGCCCCCGCGACCCGGACCCGGATAAGCGGAGGAAGACGACGACGACGACGACGATACAAGTCAGATCACCTGTGTAATTCGTACCCTGCTCCCTTTCATCACTGCCAATGATCGAAGAGGTTAATCTGTAATTAACTAAACTTAAAGGTGTGGTTCACTCGCTTAATTAATACACCTGCAGTGGTCTCACGTAGGAATGAAAGCCTTTTAAGTCATACTGGGGGTGTAATGAATAAAAAGGGTCAATTTTCACCATCAAATTCACACGGTAACCTTTCATACACGCCAGAGCTGCAAAGTCAAGGTTACACCAGCTGGAGGATCCAGACACACAAATCAACCTTTTGCTCACTTATTGTTCTTCAACGCAGACATAAATAAACTGTCAAGGTCTCCCGCAAAAGCCCTTCTCTTCTCTGCCCCAGACTGCTGGATTCCTCGCTCTGAATAAAAGTGAATCCACAGGAATCCTACAAAGCTTTACAACTTATAAGTTAAATAATCATATGTGATGAACGAACAAGATGTTTAAATCAAATGTTCGAATAACCAGTGCTTAAATCAATGTATTTGACATGGATCATTGTAAGAACAATATCCGTTTCAAATTCATTGATAAGCACGAGTTATTCGAACATTTGATTTAAACCTCTTGTTCATCTTTGATTCATCACATTTGATTATTTAACTTATAAGTTGTAAAGTCTTGTAGTGTTCGTGTGGTTTCACTTTTATTCAGAGTGAGGAATCCAGCAGTCTGGGGCAGAGAAGAAAATGGCTTTTGCGGGAGACCTTGACAGTTAACTTATGTCTGCGTTGAGGAACAATAAGTTAGCAAAAGGTTGAATTGTGCGTCTGGATCCTACAGCTGGTGTAACCTTGACTTTGCAGCTCTGGCATGTATGAAATGTTACTGTGTGGTGAAAAATGACCCATTTTATTCATTACAGGGGATATACCAGTGCACCATATCTAGGAACTACCAGTGACCCACATCACAACTGAGCTTCTGACGGCAGTTTTTGGAGTATTGTTTTCTGATATTTGGATATCTCATCTAAGATTGGCTAACAGCAACACAACTAGCATTGACTTGCAACGTTGATGTTTATATCCACAAATACACAAGCCTGGAGAAGTTCTGCTGTGTGGTGTAGTTGCTAATGCTAATGTTTGCTTACACTAGCCAATGGACATTAAGTTGTTCTCAGCTGTTTCCTGAATTTTAAAACCAACAACAGCCTTTTCATGTCATGATGGGTGAGCCCTCTGTCAGGATTTTCAAATCTTAGAGTTGCTATTGCAGGAGATAGGTGTAGGAGACTATTTTCATGTTCAGCCTGCATGAAAAACTCACAGTGACCGATTATAATCAGAAATGATCATTAAAAAATTCTGTGTTCCACACCATTAACAAAAATAATAGAAAAAGAAAAAGAAATTCTAAAGAATATGAAGTTGTTTGAAGAAAAGGCACAACATTGTTATGTTGCATTATCAATACCTTATATTATTACTATTAATAATATACATTAAACTAAAGCCTTATTTACCCCAAATCAAAAAATGCAAAGGGGAATTGTTTCATTGCTTTTTTCTTGGTGAGAAAGTGGTTACATGGAATGCTTCTATTTTCTACTAAATTTAGCCCAAAAATCCTTAACGATTGGTTTAGAATGATGTTTAGTGTTTATTTCTGTATTTGACTAAAGCAAAACATTGAAGCTTCAATTAATATTCAATAGCAGGGAGAACTTGGACATCTAAAACAACACGCAGCATCTTAAAGTATAACAAACTTTGATGAGTTAGCTACTGCTGCTTTGTATTCTTATACCCCTTTAATAGTCAGCTACGTATGCATAGAAATAGTAGATAATTGTTTTATTTTAATTGGCTAAGTCATCAATCAGCATTAAATATTGTAATTTGGGTTTTTTTCTTTTATACCACATTCAACTGTTTATCTGAGTTTAAATGAGAAACAACATCTTTACTTTAAAATGACCAGAATGAATTGACATTGTTGTAAGTACTGCTTATTTTACTTTATCATCCATATTAATTAAGCTATTGTGGCAGCTGATCAGTGAGTGTAAGAGAAAATGTGCTGTAAATTTGTTCATCTTGGTGTTGATCAGTCTGAAAATGCTTCACACTCAACATTGATGGAGCACAGCTTGTTAAAAACTCATCATGTGTTTATACATAGTGTTCTGAATGCCAAGAAGAAGCTTCAAGCTGATGTGATATGACTCATCACAATAGCTTTGTCACGTGAGACCGTTATATCAGGAACACTTTACTAATGAGGTTCATTCTGAACTTGCTTGCACAAAAGCTAATTTTTTTCTTCCTGCTCTGCTTTTCCAGTATCAGCAGCATGACCGTGTGGCTTTGCTAAACTATTAAGTGAAGTTCGATCTGTTGAAGATGCAAAACATGACACTAAAGCTTGAGTGTACACTAGTTTGTAGCTGTGGTTGTAATCAGATCCACATTTTTCTCCCTGAACATACATAGCCTGACAAGCTCATCAGTCTGATCAGGGTGGTGCTTTCCTGATGATGCTTGAGTTAGCACCACATACTTAAGTATGAACTAAATGCTAATTAAGAGCAGGTACTGTCCCACACGTTTCTCTATGCCTGAGTCATACTTTTAAAAGCTTGTAAACGTTCTCTTCACCTTGCTCTAGACAATGCAGCAGACCCTGGCGTGTTGGCCAAACAGATCTGGATAGATGTAGCGACCGAAGGCGATCAGCTGTGTCTGACTTTTACTGACAACGGCAACGGCATGACCCCCAATAAACTACACAAGATGCTCAGGTGAGTCTCAAACAGAGGAGCAAGAAGTTTACACATAAAGAAAGAAAAAAACACTAATTTTATACCTATCATTGCTGAAATACGCAAATGTTTTTTTATTACCTGATACGGTTAATTCTACTGTGGTAATATTATCTATAAGTCCCAGAAACATTCACCTTTTCACTCACTTTATTTGGTCTTTTTTAGTTTTGGCTTCACGGAAAAGGGAACGGGAAAAGCCAGTCAGCAGGCCATTGGCTTGTACGGAAACGGCTTCAAATCTGGCTCCATGCGTCTGGGTCGGGATGTGCTCATCTTCACCAAAAATGGTGGCTGTCAGACTGTGGGACTGCTTTCTCAGACCTACCTAGAAAACATCAAAGCCCAGGCTGTCATTGTCCCCATAGTGCCCTTCAGCCAGCAAACCAATATCCTTTAGATGCAAAAAAAGTAAACAAATCAGTTGCTAAACCTTTGCTTTATGATTTTGTTCATGTATTTTAGTTGGGAGGGATGTGACCCATCAGCATTGTGACCATGTACATCTAATTATTTGCATATCTCAGTGTGACCAGCCTACATGCAAAGCAGATTCAGCAACAGGCGCTGACTGAACAGTGTTGTGTTGGAGGTATAAACCATGACCAGAATGTGTGTTTCCTTTATGTTAAGACCTTAATTCTGCATCACAATCCCTGGTTGTGACTGAGGACTCAGAGGCCAGCCTAGCAGCCATTTTCCAACATTCTATCATCAGCTCCCAGGAGCAGATACTTGCTCTCTTTGACTCCATCCCTGCCAAAAAAGGCACCAAGATATTGATATGGAATATCCGCAGGTCAGGAATTTTCTTTCACCTTCTGTTAAGAACTAAAAGTTTTCCTTTTCTTTTGGTTTTAGTTATCTGAATGTAGTTAAAACACAGTGTGTGTGTGGGATGAGAATTCTCTGACCGACACAAACACAGAAGGGCAAATAGACACGTTGGTTTGAGCATGGAGTCTGGCAAATGAACAGAAATTAATAGTTGCATTTCCACCTTAGGAGTTCCAGGAACTTTCTGGGAGAGAGGAAGGTGACCGTGAAAATGTGATGGCTCGATCCTCTCACTCCAGTTTCACACTGAAAGCAAAACGTCACTACTTCAAAAATAATTCATTATAGTCTATGGACTGTTTCCAACCAGCAGCGATGCAGCAATTTCCAGGCGCATCCCAGGAGTGGCACGCCATGCCGCGTCGTGCCGCTAAAGATAGCAAGTTCTGGCCAAGCTGGTCTGCTAAATACAGAAACATAACATAAACATTTATCTTTCAGTTTAATCGATCTCTCACTTTTCTCAGTTTTCATAGTGTTTTTGGGTCTGTGTGGCCAACGGGATCTTTGGCTCTGTGTTTTACACTGAGAGCTTTGAGCAACGTGCCTCCACCACACATTTGCTGCAACCAGTTCATCCCTAAGCTGCACGGTGCACCAGCACTTTGACATATTGTAAACAGCTGCAGAGCCTGGGGAAGACGGGATAAGAGTGGTTAAATGCTGTGGTTTTCCATTCATCCGACCAGTTAGTTTTGATTCTACCATATTCATCTGCTAAATAGGATGAAACGCGGACATTTTCATCGATCTATAAATGCTCCGCAAATTCCAGGGGCAGACCGCGGAAGCGTACGTGTCTGGAAAAAGGAACTTTTGATCACCTTAGTGAATGGAATAATAATAGCGGAATAATCCTGGAATGACCAGAGAACATGAAGTGACAACTTTTTTTTACTGTGGTGGTGGTGGTCTGTCATAAAGGGATCTCCGACCGGTGATCAAAATCTAAAGATAATCGGTGTCTATGTTTGACATTTATGACCACATTTGACATACATATTTAAGTTTGTAGAACAAGCGTGTGATAATTGACTTACTGCTGGAAACCGCTGGCTTTTTGATTCCTGCTTCCTGTGAGCCTGCGGGCTGCTGTGAAGCTGTGAGCGGGGCAGAGCCGGCAACCCCGCCCGTTGGAAACAGCGTGTGTGGACCGACCGTACCAACTTGAGGAATTGGGGGGTGGGGGGTGGGGTGGGTGGGACTATAATTTCTCAACAGTTAAAAACACATTGTTTTGTATTTGCAGACTAACTTTTACGTTGTGGTTTTAGAAGACAATACAGGTTTACTGATAGCATTTATGTGTTTACAATAACTTTTGTGGGGGGGACAACTTTGTGTGAGGGGGGGACACGTCCCCCCCCCCCCCCCCCCCCCCCCGTTTCCCCTGGGATCTCCGCCTATGCTCACCAGTGGGATCCTAATCACTTTGTACAGTGTACTGCAGAAAAGCAGAAAGCTTTGGGTTTTTGTGGATCAAATGTAGTTTTATTAAAATAAAAATTAAGGCTTGAAAAAAGTCTCAATGTTTCCAAATTGGTTATTTAACCCTTTCTAACTAAATAATCTTAATCCTAATCTTCCAGAGGCAAAGATGGTAAGACCGAGATCGATTATGACTTGGATTCGACTGACTTTCGTTTGCCTGAGATCCAGATTAAGGAGCTGAAACAGGGTTTGTGGAACAGTGGGTTACTAAGACCTGAGCAGAACATCCCAGACATGTATTACAGCCTCAGGGTAAGTCAGTACAACACATTTCATCTCAAGTCACCACGAGTGTTAGGGCTCTTTTCATATGTTCCAGTTTTGTTCAAATTTAAGAGTCTAGATCAGCAATCTTTAATTTTGCCTGACAAATTGAAAAACATGAACAGTTAACTCATTAGAAGAAGAAGAAGAAGAAGAAGAAGAAGAAGAAGAAGAAATCTTTCACATATAAAAACCATGAGGCGCTTCACAAAAACAAAAAATTTAAAATATAAAACTCAAACTGGTGAGTTTTCAGCTGCTTTTTAAAGGAGACCACCGAGTCCACTGATCTCAGGCTCAGGGGGAGAGAGTTCCAGAGTCTGGGGGCCACAGCAGCAAATGATCTGTCACCTTTGGTCTTTAGCCTGGTGCTGCACAACCAGTAGGCTTTGATCACTGGACCTCAGGGACCTGCTGGGGGTGTAGGGACTAAGAAGATCACCAGTGTAAGATGGTGCTTGTCCATGTAAGGCCCTATAGACCAGAACCAGGATCTTGAAATGAACCCTGAAGTTGACTGGCAGCCAGTGAAGCTGGAGGAGAAGCGCGGTGATGTGGGTGTGTTTGGAGGACTTGATCAGAAGCCGAGCACAGGCATTCTGAACCACCTGTAGACGGTTCAGGGAGGTTCTGCTCAGACACGTGAAAAGAGAGTTACAGTAGTCTAAGCGTGAGGAGATGAAGGTGTGGATAACTGTCTCAAGTTCAGAGCGAGACAGAATGGGACTCAGCTTAGCAACGTTCCTGAGATGGAAGAAGGAAGAGCCAACAAGAGAACTGACATGAGAATCCAGGGTGAGAGCTGGGTCAAAGGTCACGCCAAGATTCCTGACAGAGGGTTTGGTGTGAGAAGCAAGCGGACCAAGAGTCTCTGACTTTGGGAACCAGCTTGTCTGGGGCAGAGATGAGGATCTTATCTTATCTTGGTCTTATCTTCATCAGCTGAAGAAAGCTCCCAGCCATCCAGGTTTTGATAGAGTCTAAGCAGGTGTGTAACAGCTGCAGCTTAGACATCTCATGGGGCTTAAAAGAGATGTACAGTTGGATGTCATCTGCATAAAGATGGTAGGAGATTCCTTTGAAGGAGCTCAGGATGTGCTGAAGAGGAAGCAGATAGAGGAGGAAGAGCAGCACAGAACCTTGTGGGACACCATGGGTAAGGGAGGTGGTGGAGGACCTAAACTTGGAGACGACCACAGAAACGGAGCGCTCAGAGAGATAAGAGGAGAACCACTCCAGAGCAGTTCCTGATAGGCCTACCCAGTCTCTCAGCCTCTCTAGTAGCAGGTGATGGTCAACAGTGTCAAAGGCTGCAGTCAGGTCCAGCAGGACCAAAACAGAATAGTCCCCCGCATCACTGTGGGTCAGAAGGTCATTAGAGACCCTAAGAAGAGCTGTTTCAGTAGAACGAGCTCTACGAAAACCTTACTGGAAACTATCATAGATGTAATGTTCATCAAGAGCAGCTGTGAGCTGTTTAGCCACAACCTTTTCCAAGATCTTGGAGATGAACGGAAGTTTAGAGATGGGTCTGAAGCTGCTATGGAGAGAAGGATAAAGATTGGATGTATTAAGTAGTGGGTGGATTACAGCATTTTTAAAGTAAGCAGGGACCTGACCAGAAACCAGAGAAGCATTAATTATAGAGAGCACGCAGTTGAGCTCCTTAGTACATTTAGGCTAATTCATCATCAATCTTTTAGATAAACCATTTTAAGAAACATGGGTGCATTGGGGTGCAGCTGGTAGCACTGTTGTCATGCAGTGAGAAAATCACTCAAGATCATTTCTGCATGGAGTTAGCATGTTCTCCCCATGCATGCCTGGGTTTTATCTTGTTTCCTTCTACAGACCAAAAACATACATGTCAGTGTAACTGGTAACCCTAAAGTATCCCTGCATGTGACTGAGTAAGTGGAGTGTTGTTCATCTCTATGTGTAGTAAACGCAACCTGAGAGCAATGCTGTGAAAAGTTGTAAGAATTTTTGCATCCGTAAACCTAGAAAAGTACATTTTCAAGCAAATTGTATAAATTCAAAAGGATGATCTAAGCTAAAATGACTGTTCTTGAGTGCCTATGGGAGTCCAGTGCTAGATTTTTGTCATGATGTGCTCCTGCAGCCTCTTGTGTCTCGTCTCCTCTCGTTAAGTGTTGATGTGACTCACCTGCCCCTCGTTATCCTACCCACCTGTTTCCCACCACGCCTCCCTTCGCTCTGATGGCCAGTGAGACGAGAATCTACAGTTGCAATTAAACACTCATTCTTTAGAGGGCGCTGTCTCAAAAACGATTCAGGCCTGCAACTGCGGTCGGCCTGAATCTGCGGTCTTCGGGTCTGCAGCCATACACAATTGGGTGGGACCATCGACATATAAATATTGGACAATGGGTTTCCATAGGCTCCAATAACATGTTTTTGAGGAGAAATGGGAGGTGGCCACCACCGCCATTTTGACCGTGTCACAGGTTCCGTCAAGCCCAGACAATTCCACAAAAGGGAAGAGAGGTGGAGCTGAGGGTGGGGCTGTAAGGCTGGGATCAACTGACGACACCCAGTCGAACTAGCTACAAGCTAACTTGAAGCTAACCCAAAGCTAACGCGGAGGTGGGAGCTAAACTAACGGAGGTAGCAACCTAGCTACAACCGGAGTTAACTGTGCACAACACCAGAGCTTCTGAGTCAGAGATACGCCGGGCTGACCGCTGAGTCAAACCGGGTGGAACACAGAGGTCTCCGAGACCTCCACAAGACAGCAGCCGCACAGCAGACAAGCGCCACTGCGATCTGAGATGCGCAGAGCTGCTGCTGGGGAGAACTGGGTGGAAAGGTTTCCATCCCAGAGCTCCACAAGCCGGCAGCCCGCGCAGCAGACAGAAGCCGCGATCAGACAGAGATGCGCCGAGCTGTGGGAAGGGGAGAAAAGGTGGAAAACGTCGGTCTCCTGAGAGCTCCACAAGCCGATAGTCGGAACCCAGCTCCACCAACATGTTATATTTCAACCCATTTTCTAAAGTGCAGCATTATGTTAAATGCACTGGGTTTTACCCTATTACATTTAATTTTCATGGTTAAACAGTACATGTTAAAATCTAAGCTCAGCTCGGCAGTGACCTAAAATACATAAATATAATTTTACCTACCGATAAAAATGAAGTGGAGACTCCTTGGATGCTCTATTAGTGCAATTAATGCCACAGCAAGTCATTTTGTCCAACAATTGCACAAAAAATATCCAAAAAAGAATACACAAACACGGAGACTCAAAATCCCGGAGCAGTTTCCAAGCCAGACCGAGGCTCTACTGAGGCCTTTCCACGGAGCTAGCTCTGTGGTCACGTGGGTCTGATGCTCATTAATTATACAGAATTTTAGGCTTTTAATACACTTAAACAGAAGAGTGAGAAAAGAATTCACCCCCCTCAGAGTTGTCATGAGTGTAAACTAGATCATTTAAACCAAAAACATGTTTTGGTACCAGGCTGTAAACATGTTTATTTCTGCTGTGAAATTGGTATTTTTAACATGGGAGTCAATGAGGATTTGCTTGCTTCTAACACCAGCCCCCAGCGGATGAGGGTGGAACTGCAATTGTTGGCACTTCCGGGATGGCCTCAATTTTTGAGCCGCATTGTGGGGGCTTGGGTGGGACGGACACATTTCCACATGCATTTCTCTGTGATGTCTCACATTGGTGACATTCTTTTATTGATGTATGAAAGTTCAGTTGAACAAATGTGACATTTAAGCAGCAGAAAATAGTACGAATGATGTAAAAAGAATAATTTAGAAACAAAATTCTGATGGATCAAGGAGAAACAGAGAGGAACAGGATCTAACAAGGAAATAAAATGAAATAAAAAGAACAAAATGATCCCTCACGGACCACCATCTGTTTGCTTTCTGGCTCCATGGTGTGTCAGTAGAATCATTTTGCTTCAAAATATATACTTTTGGCAGAAACTAATCCCATTGACAGATGGAGACGCCCCTCCATTTAAACATGGTTCTGCACTTCACTGACAAGTGAAACAGCAGCTGTATCGGCCATGTGACTACTTCCTAAATAATACACGCACCGACACGGGGTCTCGCTCTATGAGTTAAATACATGCGCCGACGCATCAGTGTTGCTCGACCCATCACTAGGTGAGACTAATGATATGTACTGGTTACGGTCGGTATTTAGTTTTGTCAGAAAACCTCACAGAGCTCCATTCTGCCACGTGTTCACTTCTGTTAATGGGTGATGGAGTTTTGTTGATTAAAGAGGTGAAATGTCAATCCAGCTCAACTGTTTTACACAATTGTAAGTAATAATTATTTATATAACACTTTTTGCAGAAACAGATTCCCAAAGTGCTTCACAGAAAGTAAAATGAACTATTAAAATAATAAACTCATTTAACCATGTACAAAAATTCTACCCAAATATTGTGCCAGTAATTCATGATAAGTGATGCAGCTTTAATGTTACGTTGTGTAAAATACAGAATGTAATTTGACTGGAATCTCTGTTGACAGTTGGGCCTGTTGTATTTCAATACAGAGTTTGCATGTTCCTCCTGTCTGTGGCAGTTTTCAATCAATCAATCAATCAAAGCTTTATTTATAAAGCGCCTTCCGCAACCCTGTCAGGAAGCCCAAAGCGCTGAACATTGTACAGTTGTATGTAAATATATTGAATAAATCAACAATAAAAGAAATTCAAATTACAAAATACAAATTACAAAATGGAAATTACAAGATAGATGAAACATTCTGGAGTTTCATTCACACACACCTCTCAAATGTTTTCTCCAGGATCTCCGATTTTCTCACACAAACCAACAGTTATGTTGGGTTAATGGTCCATTCTAAGTTGACCATAGGTGTGAGTGTGTTTGTGATGAATTGCCTGTCCGAGTGTGGTCACTTGTCTTAAGTGTCCTCCACCTCTTGTCCAATGGACATAGGCACCACCCCTTGTGACCCTGAACAGGAACAAGCAAAGTGTTGATGGACATTACAGCAGTTGGGGAATTAAAAAAATTAGCTTCAACATATATATAGTCTTAAGTAGTGACTATGAAGGCCTGAGTCTCTCTGTGTAAATGTCTTAAAGGTGACAAAGAATGCAGTTTATCAGCAATCTAAAACACTGCTTTGAATCTAAGAAGTATAAGACATTTTCTTTTAGCTTTCATCTGTCCCAGGAGCCCTGATACAGGCCATTCTACACCCCTAAATCAGCCTTGCTCTGAAAAGAGCTGTTTGCCCTCCCACTTGGCCAGGACATGAATATGCTAATGAGCTGCTTGCTGATTGGTTGGTTTAAACCAGAAGGCCTCAGACACTGGACACTGCAGACTGGAGGAGGAAGGGCTCCACATTGTGACGTTTTTATGAGAGGTTTCTCAGAAAAGAAGTTTTTATCTGGCATTTTTAAACTTTCTAATTTACATAAAAAGTAGGTCACACACACTTTTTGGCATGCTACTTCTGACCCCCCAAGCTGTCTTTCTTCACAAAAAACAACAAAATGTTGGCTTAGATTCTTTGTCCCCTTTAAATTAGAAAATTTTGAACCTTTTTGGATTTAATTTGTTCCGCATGCAAGGTGCTTTTGTGATTTTCTTCTGGCTGTGCTCATCCCAATACTTTTGCTTTTTTTTTTTTTTTTTTTGCACAAGGAAGCGCAACATTCTGCAAGATCATTTATGTCTGCAGAAATCTAGATAACCAAAGAAAGGTGAAGTTGTTTTCATGGTGACGTAAACTTCAAAATGTTACACTTTAATGTGATGCAGATGAGTTGAAACTTGCGAGACAGTGGCTCTCCGAGACCATGTTTGTACACTTTTTTCTCACTGAGACTGGAAATTTCCATTCTGCTTCTAGTGAGGATAGTGACTTTCCTTCCCCTGATGTGGCTGTGTCAAGCAGAATCCAAAACAAATACAGTGTTAGAAAGCATGGTGTTCCCATGTACTACAAAACCAAGAATACAAAACCATACTGGTTTTGTATTCTTAAATAGCCTGAACTACTCTAGACCAGTGTTTCTCGATTAATGCTCCCCCCAATAGGATCTTCCCACAGACAAAATGTATGGAATAAAAACTTGTGCTCCCCTTCAACGGCTCCACACTTTGAAAACCTGCTCTTCCACATAAATACATCTACTGCCTTGCCTTGTCTATTTTAGCTTGGCCCATTTCCCTTTCCAGCTGCGTCACATGTTGAAAATCTTTGGAAAATGGTTGAACAATAATCCTCTCCAATGTCCGATCTGGGAGTCCGATTTGCACCATCCCCGACAGCGCTGTGTAGTTACTTCCCGTGGTAACATATTTAGGGTACGAAATTACAACTTTATGATGATCGGAATGACTCAGACCCACAGGCACCCATGCAACGCATACTTGCTTGTCTAGGGCTACATCCCAGACGTATGTCTCAATCCATCTTTAGCTACTGTAAAGTACACTATTCCTTATATTGTGCAAATTGAATGGGAATTGCTCCAAGAGCAATGCAAAGATGTCTTTGATGCAGTTGTGCAAAAAGTTCATTCTCATTGTTTTAAGAATTAAACGTCCTTGTGATTTAAATAAAGTACATTTACACATGTAGCTAAAATAAAGAGATGTAGAGAGTGTCATATTGGGGTTTAGAGCAGACCCAAACTGAAATAGAAGCAGTGGTTTTGGTTAGTCTGGGTAAGTCCCACACAGCTCGGGGGGGGGGGGGGGGGGGGGGGGGGGGGGGGGGGGGAATGCAGCATTTGAACTCCATTTTCAGTTACAAACCGAGACGTTTTCCACCACTAAAGACGTGTGTGGTTTTATGGTAACACTGCTCCAGTTACGCTTTACAATCATTAGTTATTTGAATTTCACATTTGTTTAACAGTACAGGTCTTTACTAGGCTCCATCAGGTTAAAAAGGATGTACATGGCTTAAAATCATTTTATAGTAGATTTTTTTAATTTAAAATGTCACTTTTCACATATCTATGCTTCTTTGGTTTTTACAGGCCTACATCAGTATTTTGTACCTGAGGCCGAAGACGCAGGTCATACTGAGAGGGAAGAAAGTTCTGGCCAAGCTGGTATCTAAAAGTCTGACTCACATTGAACATGACGTGTACAATCCACAGTTCAGTGTATCCTTACACGTATATCCTGCCAGAAGTAGGAAGTGAGTAGCTGTGGGGATGAGTCAAGGAGTTATATTTGTAAGGACTTGTCAAGGCAACATTTTTGAGACTTTGAAATGTGGAAGTTATCTCAGGTGCCACATCAGTACAGTAGACTTGTGGTTTAGTCCTGTCCAACAGACCAGATTAAACAAAAGGGAAAATCTGTTTGTTTGTAAGTCCTTAAAGAGCAAGTCACCCCCCCACCCCCACTCTCACACACACACACACACACACACACGACTTACTCCACCCACACTTCCTGTTTTAAAAATGCTCCAAAAGGAGGCGTCGCCTGGTGAACCAAGAGAGTGACTGACAGCACACACCCCACCCAACCTTGCTCCTGGAGTTTCTTTGTCAGAGAAACGAGCTGTTAACAAGCACACACACACACACACCTCTCAAATGAAGAAGCAGTCAGAGAAACTGCTGCAGGATTCCTAGTCTGGAGAATTTTGCTCCAACTCCATCAGCAGAGGGAAGGGAGGAGGGTTTAATGGATGGGGTGAGGCTAGGCTGTATTCTTTTGTATTGGCTCATGATTGTCGGACACGTGGCTGAGAGTCAGCTGCATCAGAAATATTAGCTAGCATCAAAACTCACTGCTTAGCCATTGGCAAAGGTTGATTCAAATTTAAATGCAGTGCAGATTGTTTACCTGAAGATGGCACCACATTGGTTGTTTCAGGCTGAATATTTATATTTTACATTAGATGCATGAATATGGTAAAATCATGATTACATTAATCTATAGCAGTATCAGACACTCATTTAACAGTTCATCAGCAAAAATAGGTTGATTTGGGGTGACTTGCATGCCAAATAGCAGGAGCTTCTATTTTGAAGGTTTCATGTCATTTCGGTGTTTGATAAAGTAATCAATGACTCTGAAAGCTGCTGATGTGCAGAGCTGTTATCCTTTACTGGTGTTTGTCAGAAAGAGAAAGTGAAAGTGACTTTTGGACTAAACCCTAAAAGGAAGGAGCACTATGGCATCATGATGTACCACAAGAACCGTCTCATCAAGGCCTATGAGAAGGTGGGCTGCCAGCTCAAAGTAAGAAGAAATGTACATTTTGTATATTTTATTGAAAGTAGACTTGTGTATGTATGTATGTCACACCCTTAATCTTTTCCAGTCTTCGGGTCAAAGAGCAGGGATTGGCATCATTGGCATTGTTGAGTGCAACTTTCTCAAACCTGCTCACAACAAGCAAGACTTTGAGTACACTAAAGAATACAGGTACGATACAAATTTAAAAAAAGTTGTCATGCTTTTGAGCTGTGCCTTTGTCACACCAGTGACACAAAAGTCTTTTAGTAAACTTGACCAATAAAATCACATTTTTGGCCAGTTGGAAATTGTACATAAACAAACATTTTATTGTAAACTGTTGGGATTTCTTGTGCTCCTAAGGCTCACCCTTGGCGCTATGGGCTTAAAACTCAATGACTACTGGAGAGAAGTTACGGAGAAAAAAGCCAAAGAGCGAGAGTTTCAGGCTCTAGAGAAAGGCGACGATAATTTGCAAGAAGGCACCAAAGTGTAAGTGGGATTTCAGTTCACAGTTTTGCAGAAAGTGGAGGTCTTACTTTGACCTCGACATCTCTTTCTGTCTTATTTCTGTCTTAGCACCCCTTGAACAAGTGGCACAGGTTTGGTGAAATGGTATGTTAATGTTTACGTCAGTGCTGGTGTATCTACTCAGGAGCCGCTCGGTATTGCCTTCCTGCTTGAAACCACCAAATAGTTCCCGAGCACGGCCGTGTCTGCAGCTCACCACTCCCCACGGGGTTGGGTCAAATGCGGAGGACAATTTTCACCACACAACACCACTGTGTGTGACAACTATGGGACTTTAACTTTAACTCCAGAGTGTACGCCGTGCCAAGACCTACAAAAATACAAAATCAGCCATTCCCATCTGTCACAGGTGTCTTATAGGTTCTAACACCAGTTATACTAAAAAGCTGTTTTTCCACCAACATAATTACTTATTACTGTTCTTCTATATTTAGGAACATTTCTATGCTTAAGTACAAGATGATAAATATTATACAATATGTAAAATTGTTCCTACGCATGGAATACACACAGATCTGTGCGGCGGTACTGTTGATAAGTAAGGAGGACCCAACATGGAGCAGCTGACTTACCCCTCACCACTGACACAGAGCTATTCTCTGGCTGATCTCCTCACACTGAATATGACACTGTAAAAGACACATAGAAAATGAAAGTAACAGGTCTACAATCTTCTCGTTTGTGACGAAGACAAGCCAAGAAGACTTCAAAACACAGACATGCAGCAGCTTGTTAGATCTGAGAAAACTAAACTACATGTTCTTGATATCATAGAAATGAGCAGCCAACTAAAATAGAATTTTAATGGAACTAAATAGGAAAATATGCATGAATTCAGTAGAACATGTTATTATTTCAATATCTTTATTCATCATTGACTCTGTTTTTGTTTGGTCACAGCGGCTCCTTATGGTTACAGTGTGAAGACTGTCTGAAGTGGCGAAGCGTCCCTCCAGATCATTATAAAGTCACGCCTGAAAACTGGACTTGCAGCCAAAATCCCAACTCACGTCACAGGTGCATAATTCATTTTTATTTAATAATTATATTTAGAAATAACCCAAATTTAGTAGTAGCATTTGTGTCATTAGATCTGATTTTTTTTATCCCACTGGTTTATTTGAGCAAATGATCTGATTCAAAAAGCCCTTTGGGATGAACGGGGATGTATTTGGTCAGACACTTTGTCACAGCACTGTAAAATTGTACATATTAAGCATTCACATCTTGTATATTATATGATCGTGGGTTAGCATGAGTGTGTTTACTTGCTAAACCATCTCATGTCTGCTTGTTGGACTGCTTTGTGTTTGTAGAAAATGTTCATCACCAGAGGAATCGGAGGAGAGCGAGGAACTGTTAACACCCAGCTACCAGAAAAACCACAAGAAACTGTAAATTCCTGTTTCTCTAAACCTCTCGCTCAGACCTTTCATACTGCCTTACTTCCTGCATGTGTGTATGGTTATCGTGTTGTTGTGGCGTTTCCAGCAGCTCTTTCATTTTGTGGTTGCACGTTTGACAGAGCTTGTGTTGAAAATGAGGATTTAGTGAGATATTGGGTTGATGATACTCGTGTTTAACTTGTAATTATTGGACGATGAAACCTACTTATTGCTATGTGCAACGTCTTCCTTGTGTTTTAATGTCTTCATCCTGATCTTTATAATTGCAGAGAGTCGTTTAAGAGCAGAAAACGAGATAAATCTCTAGAGGTCTGTTGTGTTTGACTACAGTTTTCTTTAACACATCTATAAACGTTGTTTATGACAACACTCGCTTATTTGTAGGTTTGTCCATCAGAGGAACCAACAGCTAAGCAACAAATCCTGTCACACAGTCCATCAGAGTCCCCGTCCACACACAGACCTGAACACACAAGCTCCGACACACAGGAACTCAAACACCATGAGACAAACACACACATTCTGGAAGAAGTCCACAGAGATGAACACACGAATGATACACAGGCACAGTTAGATGTGGATACTGATGAGAGAGAGATGACAAAGCAGGATGAAGCTTTGCAATTATCCATAACACCAACAACACAAGTGGAAAATTATCAGAGGCTTGAAGACAAAGAGAGAAGCAGCGAGAGTGAGACACGGACGGAGACGAGGCAGAAAGAGGAGGAGGAGCAACACGCAGATCCTTTAAGGTAGGGGGTGATTGAAGTTCAGACTCTTGTTTCTGATTAACAGAATCAGCATGAGATGATTCATGATCTTTTATCAACTGTCACTTTATTTGTTTTTCTTCCCACAGTCACAAAAGGAAACCTGAATCTGTATTTAACTACGCGATGAAAAAACGCTGGAGACAGCAACAGTCAGACCCAGAAAACATCTCAGAGGATTCACGTCCTGGAAAACAAACAAACACATTCAGAAAGGCCATCCGCAGCCACTTAGACAAGTCTATACCTCTACAGCAAAGCTCAACCAGTAGCACCTGGACCTACTCACCTCTCGCCACCCAGACTATGATGGTGTCTCCCCTTAGCAGGACCGAGGGGCCGCACGGCAGGACGCTGCCTCCAGAGGGGGGAGATCGAAAGGCTAAAGTGCAGAAGCTAGCAGCACTGGAGAGGGAGGCTCAGAGGTTACAGAGACTTCTGGGTTTGGAGGTCACCAAGACAACTCAAAGCACAGTGACAGCTGATCAGTTACCTGACTCAAACAAAGGAGGTTTGGTGAGAACAGTGGAGTCCAGAGCAAGCAGGGACATTGGCTGTCAGACTGTCAACGCTGAGGTCAGCTGAGTTTATTGTAATAACGTAAACTAAATCATTCTCATCCTATTTTATGTAATTAATCACACTTTAGGCTTCACATAATCAGAGTGGTCCTGAGGTGGATAAAACTTACACTGTGGACAATTCAGTAATCCTTAAAGCTTCTTTCCGGAGTATTTCTCTTATCCAATGGCACCATCTAGTGGCTAACAAACGTATCACACAAAACCGCTGTTCCTCTGTTCTTTTAAGATGGCACTTCAAGTTTCTGTTTATAAATGTGCTTCTGTAGCCGACAAACAGAGCGAAAACACGTTGTTTTACGAGTATTATTCTCATGTCATGTTGTGTTTTCATATATTTATATTTTAGAGACTTTCTTGTCCGTGAAAAGTTCATCAACTCTGCATCAGCCGAGGTATTCCTTAAATGTGAAGCATCTAAGCGGTAGTCTAACGCTATTGGTTAGTTCTGGTCGGTGCTCAATTTCCTTTTGCACAGAGCTCTGCCGGGCAGGGGGCGTGCTTAGCAAAAAAATAAATAAAAAATAGACGTATTGCTTACATTTTATCACAGTACATGATAAGATAATCACTTTTACGGATTTCTGACAAATTATACATAATATCTTAAAGAGGAAAACTCCGGAAAGCAGCTTTAATTTAAAACTTAGACAAACATTATTTAATAGTTTCTAGTATTTGAATTAGTTAAAATTAGATTTTTCAACATGTATGTTCAGTAACGCACACTATAGCTGATCTGAGTGCAGCTCAACAAAAAGGATAGCTTAGTAAGCCATCTTATATGTGACTATACACTCACTGGCTATTTTAATGGGTACACCTGTCCAACTGCTTGTTAACGCAAATTACTAATCAGCCAATCACATGGTGGCAACTCAGTGCATTTAGGCTTGTTGACATGGTCGACTATCCGCCTCAGTTCAAACCAAGCTTCAGAATGAGAGAAAAAGATGATTTAAATGACTTTGAACGTGGCATGGTTGTTGGTGCCAGACGGGCTATCCTGAAGGCAGACGTGGCCATGTGACCCCAGTTTGGGCACGTGTCCGCTGGCTACCTGTGGCTTTTACTGTAAAATTTAAGATTCTGCTTTTTATATATAAAGCCTTGCGAACGGTCTGGCACCATCATATTTGTCTGACCTACTCACACCCTCTGAGCCTCTGCGCTCAGCTAACCGCCTGCTACTCTGCACCCGACTATGAACTGGGGAGCGAGCCTCCGTGTATGTAGCTCTCACTCTCTGGAACGTACTGGCTCTCACTATTCGACATTCACCATCCATTGATGTTTTCAAGTCGCTGTTTTTACCGATTGTTTTATCTGTATTTTTACATGACTACGAACAAGAAACTGAGGCCACAGTTGACACAGGTTCACTAAAATTGGACAATAGAAGATTGGAAAAATGTTGCCTGGTCTGATGAGTCTTGATTTCTACCGCAACATTCGGATGGTAGGGTCAGAATTTGGTGTCAACATGAAAGCATGGATCCATCCTGCCTTGTATCAGTGGTTCAGGCTGGTGGTGGTGGTGTAATGGTGTGGAGGACATTTCTTGGCATACTTTGAGCCCCTTAGTACTAATTGATCATCGATGCAACGCCACAGCCTAGGGCTGCTCAATTAATCGAATTTTAATCACGATTACGATCTGAGTTTTGAACGATTATAAAAAACAAAACAAGCCGATTATTTGCTCCTCCCGCTTGCGCTGCCCTGAGTTGCAAATGAAGCGCTCCTCCACAGTGTTGCCAACTTAGCGACTTTGACGCTATTTCTAGCAGCTTTTCAGACCCCCTTCTTGACTTTTTAATCCTAAAAGTACCTAGCGAACATCTCAGAAACATCTCTGGTAACCCTTAGCTACTTTCTGGATAACGGTCGTCGACATTTCCTGCAGGTTAGCTAAACACTCCGCCTGAGCTCCGGACCGTTCTTCACAACATTAGGAAAGGGAATGATGCAGTGATGTGTCGGTCGCTAAAGACAGCTCTCGGAGCCGGCTCCTTGTTGGATTAACCAGAGTGAGTGACACACACACCGCACCTGCGGACTCCTGAGCAGCTAAAAACAGCTAAATGTGCGCGTGCAGCGCGCTAAACACACGTGCAGCTTGCCCGATTGCTGTGAGACCGGGTTGGGGGGTGGGGGGTGCAGCTGTGGTTGGGACAATTATTACATTAACTGATGGACTTGTAAATAAATAGTTTATAAATAAGGTAGAAATAAGTTCCTCACGCTGATAACTAATAACTAACCTCTCTGAGGACACGGTGCTCCTACAGCACCTTGACACGACTCAATAAATGTTATGCAACATTTTGTGAACATCAATTTATTTGCATTTATTTGTTATAAATGCCACTGTATAATTCTTGCTGTCAGTATTTGCAAGATATTGGTATTTGGTTCTGTACTGGTTAGACTTAAATGAGTTAAACCAAGGTCTATAGCCCTTGGGTCATAGACTATGAGCTATAAGTATATTGGTCTTTTTATACTGGGAATCAGGAGTTATTTTAGTGATCATCTTGTTTCTTATTTTTGTCCTAATTGTGCCCTGAGCAATTTTATGACTGAATAAAAACAAATAAAATCATCATAAATTGAAAAATCGTCCTAAATAATCGTGATCTCAATTTCAGTCACAAAAATCGTGATTATTATTTTTGCCATAATCGAGCAGCCCTACCACAGCCTGCCTGAGTGTTGCTGCTGACCCTTTATGGCTGCAGTGTACCCATCTTCTAATGGTTACTTACAGCAGGATAATGCGCCATGTCACAAGGCTGGGATCATCTCGGACTGGTTTGTTGAACTTGACAATGAGTTCACTAAACTCAAATGGCCTTCACAGTCATCAGATCTCAATCCATTAGAGTACTTTTGGGATGTGGTGGAACAGGATATTCGCATCATGGATGTGCAGCCGACAAATCTTCAGCAACTGAGTGATGCTATCATGTCAGTAGGGACCAAGATCTCTAAGGAATGTTTCCAGTACCTTGCTGAATCTATGCCATGGAGGATTAAGGCAGTTCTGAAGGCAGAAGGGGTTTCAACCCAGTACTAGCAAGGTGCACTTGTACCCAATAAAATGGCCAGTCAGTGTATAATCTGGCCATGGCCCATAGACAGAGCTCAGTCGTGGGGAGGGTCTACTTTTGTCTTTCAAACTATCTGCATGCTGTTGGACAACAAATAACATGACATAATCACCACTACAGATGTCAGTCCATGGGGTCATTTGCCATACACTATCGAAGAAGACACAAACACATCCTTTTTGTAATAAAATACTTAAGTACCTCTATCTGCTCTTGACTCAAAGAAAAGCTCAAGTATAAATAGTCCAAAGTTGATGCCAAAGCCATTTGAAACAAGCCACCACCATCTTGGTGGTTTCGCTCTGTCACAGTAAAATCTGCCCACCAAACCAATAGAGCTCTGTGATTGGAAAGACACAAAAATGGTCGGCCTTCTGAGGCTCAAATGGAGCGTGGCTAGGTCGACCTGCAAAGCGAAATCATTTTGCTCTGCAGGTCGGTCTAGATTTCTAGGAGAAAAGAGAGAAATAGGATAAAACATCCATCCTTGTTTTACTGTTGAAGACGAAAATCGTCGCAAAGCATCATTTTACCTGCAGTTATTCACTGCTGAAGCAACTCTTAACATCTATGAGGACAAGAAAAACATGAAAAATGAATAAATTAATCAAGAAAGCAGGAGTAAATGTTATTTCCATTTTTACATTTTTTTCCTTCAGTTCAAACGACCTAAAAAATTGTGTTTTCATCACATTTAGCTCGTATTTTATATCACTCCTAAAATGTATCAGACTTATTAGTTATTGTCTTATTAAATGTTTCAAAGATCAGTGCTGAGACACAAGTCATGTGACCTAAACAAACGCATGTGCATGTAGTGATATTTTTGTTTGTGTAGAGCCAGCAGGCTGTGTTTGAAATCATTCAGATTTGATTTTTGTTTTCATTTAAAAGCTAACGTTGTGTCCTTGTTGTCCCCACCCCATCTACCCAGCAGTGCTCCACCTCAGTATCTGGCCTGACTGCAGGTCTGGAGAACAGATCAAAGAAGGAGAAGACTGAAGATCAGAGTAAGACGACTGTGAGCGACGGAGAGGCTTGTGATGACCTCAGGTGAGTGTCTCACACACTGATATGTAGGTATAAGAAATATGTGACTGAATTTCCATTGATAAAATCCATGCACGATGCTCAAATCTGAATACTTGACTTGTTTGTAATCTCAGGATTTTTAGTAAAGGTAATGAAGCAGTGAAAACCATTTCTTTAAGCCACAAAGTCTCAGAACACAATTCATTCGTTCTCAGTCCCGAGTAGGGTGGCGCCTGTATCAGTGCTGTTTTGAGACCACACCCAAACTGTCCTTTTGATGATGATTTATTTTGTTCTCATCAGTCCAGTGCAGCAGAGTCTGCATGACATCCGTCACAACGTGGTGGTTCTCCTCACGGCCCTGCTGCCCCAGTTGGACCTGGCCGGTATCAGTGTGGAGACAGCGGATGTCGACAACATCCTGCAGCAGATCATAGAGGTTAACTCGCTACAAGAATGACTGCCATCAAGTCCTGGAGAGGATTGTTATGGTTCAGCCACAGTGTGTGGCTGCAAAGTGGTAGAACCCACTGAAAAAGCAGGTGTAGCGTGATGAATTGTCCATTTCTGACCTAAAAGGCCCTGCTCTGTTTTGCTCTGCTCAAAGCAAAACCAGAAGTTTCTGACACAAACCTAATTACAAGGATGGGTCAAGGTCTCATCTTCTGGTTCTAAACTGTTTCTTATTTTCCAACTCAAGAGAAGACGACGAACACTTTCTTTTTAATAAATCAGAAGAACTCTTTCTCTATTTTTAATAAGCTAATCAAACAAAGTGTTAGTCCAATAATAAAATGTGAACCAATCTGTGAAATTACAATGTTTATGATCAGTAGTTTTTAATAAGTAATATAACTTTAAACTAGCTGCACTAGACATTCTCATCCACGTAAAGCTTAAAGTCACATGACACATTTCCTTTTTCTGATCCAATCAGAACCTTCCAGATCTGACGTGAGGCGTAGTTTTGTTGGTGCTTAGTAAATCCCCTCTTGTTGTCCTTTTCTGATTCGATCGTAAATCAAAACATCCAAATTATAAAACTATGCCCACGTCATCTTAAATTCAGTTCAAAGCGTTCTAGAGAAGTTGTCGGAGTGGCCAATCCGTAACTTTCCTCTTAAAGCCGAAAGAACCTAACAACAAGCTGGATAAATCTGTTGCATGTTCCACCTGCTGCAACGGTTCCTTCAGAATAAAAGCTGAACCATCACGACCTTTCAGGGTCTTGCTAGATACCAATAAAACTGTTGTGACCTGGAAGTATCTCAAGACTGGTCTGGTCGGCAGCCGCTGCTTTTCCGGCTTCGGTGCCAGAGGAGGTAAAGCTGGACCTCGACATTCCTGATCTAACGGGGACTTCCGCGTAGGCCGGCAGAATGGCGTCTCAATATGTGTTATGAATCTCCAAACCGAAGTTTAGAGCGAAACATCATTTTCACTCCCATCAGAACTAATCGTTTTTCCTGATTTGCTGGTTCTGAACATATTTCACACATACACCATCCTCAGTCTTACTTCACCTTAGTTACACCATACACCTAGTGTTTAAAGTTAGTCTTGTTTAATTTGCTTAGTAATAAATCTTTAAACTTTTAGACCTGACTCACTCTCTTTTCTTGAAGTTAATACAAAGTGTTGCTCAATCCCTGCAATAAAAAGATCCGATCCTCTGGTTAAATTTATTCAAAGATCCATTAAGGTGATATTTCACATTTTGTGATATTTCACATTTTATGGTTTCTAATTAAATGTAATGACGTATTCTCTGCACAGGTCTTCCCACCATGCGGTTATGAGCCTTTTTCACACTTCCTGGGTTTTTACACTGAAAATGTCACCTGTCTGAAAAATCAAGTTATTGCAGCGTACCAGACTGTTTTTTTATGCTCTGAAGCAGCCCTACCTACATTTCTATTTGTTTCCAACATCTATTGATGCAAGACAAAGGTGGGTAAGGGCGATCAATCATGAGGAGGGGCCCAATTTTGTTATTGAATGGGGTAGCGCACTTTACGGCTGGGGCTAAGAGTTAACCGCCTTAACGCAGATGTGGTACCAAGTCTGTTCTCCAGGAATAACTTCACCCCAGGTACCAGTAAGGAGTATGTGTATGTTCAAGGCCACAAATGGTAGTTTGTGCAGCAGTTCCTGCAGGAATGGAAGAGCCAGGCGCTATAGAGAGTGACAAGGCTGGACCATGATATACCACATCACCTCACTGCAGATTAAGTAGTCCAACGCAAACTCTGCTGAAATGTAAGCTCTTGTTTGTGTTCATGACAAGTAAATGGTGCCAAACTCATAGTTTAGAGCTGCAACCCATGCAAAATAAAATTAGAGCGATACCACGTTAACAGTTTATCGTTCAAACAATAGAATTTTCCCATTCATAAGCATATTCATCACAGTTTTATAATCTAATAATCATGGGTTTTATTATACAATATTATACACGTGTATGTTGTTAGAACATGATATTTTATTGTTTAAATTTGTATTTTTTACTGTAAGAACATGAAAATGGTATTGTTAGAACAATTAAATGATCATTTTGTAATGTGATATTGCTGTAAATTTAGTTTTCATGAGTGGCAGCTCTACAGTCCTGTATAATAATGCTGTCCCTTTCGTGGTCTTTATTGATCTATTTTGAATTTTAAAGAGGGTAAATGTAAAATGCTTGTAGTGTAGACAGAATCCATGCTGATTGAAGGCTGACCTAGTAAGGATCAAGGAATTCCCGGTGATGACGTTCTTCAGTTTTGTGTAAAGTGTCTATTATCAGCAGTTAAAGTCCTCTCAATCCTTAAGCTATTACTTCTGTTCTCTTAAAGACGTTGTAGAATATGGTGCTATGTGTAAACCTTGCTTAGAGGCTGTCTACTGTACAGATGCTTTTCTTTTTATCTAAAATTATAATTTTTTAAATATTTGTCTTGAATTTGTTTTGCTTTTTGTTGTAGTTGTTGTTGTTTTTTTACTTAATATTTTAACGTGCGAATGTTTTATTTGCAACTTTTTGTTATTAAAGAAGTTTGCAATAAAAATCTGAATCAGTTTATTATTTCGTGTGAAGTTTATATTAATGCTACTTTTCAGCGTTGAAAATGCTTGCAGTACTGCTCTTTTCCACAAGATGTCAGGAAAGCCGGTAAAAAGAACACGTTGGCGTTTAGACCAAATCTAATTAAACCGTCATTTCTTTGCACTTTATCTAGCCATTTAGGGCATTTTATCTTAATGTTGTTTATCTTTTTCGATTGTTCTATGGAATTAATACTCTTTTATCCAATTTTCTCTTTAGTTTAAATGTGAGTTGTGGCCATGTTAATAGTACTAGTTGTCCAGGAAATAGTTGAATCGTTTATCTGACACAAGAGCTTTCTCCATAAATACAGAACAATTTAGTATGAAAATAATTACGAACAATTAAAAAATGTTACAAGCCATGCAATAATGATTATTAAAAAAAGACAAAAGTTATTGTGTCTCCAGTCATTTGAGATGATTAATTTTTAACTAGCTTTTCTGATTTGTAAAGTTACTCATATATGTTTAAGTGCAGTAATTAAAAGTTAGGCGCTTTAAAAAGTCAGACAGAAGTAAGAAAAATTCTTAAACTCATAAAACTGATCGAATATGGCCCATTTTATATTTCAATCAAATTTTAAAGTCATGTTTACTTTGACGAGAAATGAAGTCTAATCTGACGTCATGATGGTCTCCCCACGTGCCTCCTGCTTGATCTCCCTCCACACCCTGCCCTTTAAACGCCCCGCTCCCGAAGACGGAGCACCAGAGCCCGGCCACCGTGAAGCAGACCGGTGCGACGTGATGGAGATGATGCGAAGCCTCCACCTCCTGCTGCCGCTACTGCTCCTCCACTCCTCGCTCGGAGCGGAGGAGAGGTCCGCTGCTGTCCGGGAGTACTTCATAGCAGCGGTGGAGATCGGCTGGGACTACATCTACCTGGACGGTGCTGCACCCGCGTCCGATCAGAGGTGAAGGTTTTATCCTTCGGAAAGCAGCATGATCTGAACTTGCTTTAGAAGGGAAAAAAACGTATTAAAAATATTTTTAGATTAAACATGATTAAACGTAACGTATAGGCTGTTTGAATTGTTATGACTATTATTTAATGTTACACTCTAAAAACTGCTGGTTTCTTTCTGTTAGGTGATGTATCAGTCTGTTTTAAGATACATTTTAGAGTTTTAATTAAGGATACAGGAATGTATACGTTCATATACTTCTTTCATACTTTACGTTTTAATGTTATTGTCTCACTATTTTGGCTAATTTCCTTCACTGGGACACCAAAATCATTCAAACTGGGTCAACTTTAACTCAATATTTATTTATTTATTTATTTATTTATTTATTTATTTATTTAACAAAATGTTTCGTGATACATTTCCTTATATGATTTATTCTTGTCAGGGGGAGATCAAAAGAGGTTGCTCAAAAATACATAAAGGCAGTTTACAGAGACTACACTGACTCCACATACACAGTCCCCAAGTCAAGAGCAGCCTGGACAGGTAGGCCGTTTGTAGTAGTAGTAGTAGTAGTAGTAGTAGTAGTAGTAGTAGTAGTAGTAGTAACTCATCTTTAACTTTTAATTCATACATTTGCGTATATTTTTATTTAATGCATCAGTGATTTTATTTTGTGTTTACAGGTATTCAAGGCCCAGTAATCGTCACCCAGGCTGGTGAAACAGTGGTAGTCCACTTTAAAAACCTGGCCTCTAAGCCCTACAGCATCAGCCCTGTGGGGATCACCTACTGGAAACAATCTGAAGGTGAGACGACCAAACACTTTTCGCTGTTTCTCGTATTTCTGCGTTTCTGTAATGCACTGATGATGAGTTTTAGTCAGCAGCATTCTGATATTTTTGCCTTGACTCAGTTTTGCGGACTCATGATCAGCGTTGGAAGGGAGTTTGGGATGCTTTGTGACTCAAGGCTCAGTGCTGCTGCAGTATTTCCCACATGGTGACACTTCAAATGGGCCATTCCCATCTGTACCGGGTCGGCCCGGGCCGGGTAGCGTAGGTTGTTTACATATCTGGGTGGCCTGGTATTTTTCCGGGCCAACCAAGGCTCATTCTCAGCCCTCTTCTCGAGGGGGTCTGCTTCAGGCCGACCAGGGCCAACACACCCACTGCTGGCAGCAAATTCACACCTTCCATTAGAGCAGGCCTCTGATTGGTGGGTAGAATCAGCCCACATGGGCTTAAGACAAGGATGTGTGGAACCAACCGGGCCAGGCTGGGGCCGACTGGGGCTACCCGGCCCGGGCCGACCCGGTACAGATGGGAATGGCCCAAAACTGAATTTATTCCATCACAGCTGAGCCGTGAATTTTCCCTCTTAAATGTGGGCAGCATTATTTACATATGTAGTCAGATTACCTCCCACAAATGTATCAATATTAGCTATTTTAGGTCAATTAAGGAACCGTCATGAGTTCTTTAGAATTATTAAAGAGAAAAAAAACGACTTCCTCGTTCTCTGGAAATGCCAGAGAGCAACGCCTGTCATTATCTCATGTGTGCAGATTTTAGGAAGGTGGTCCCCTCAGCTCTTTTGTCTTCATTTGTCTGAAAGCTCTGCACAGTAAATGTCCTTTCTTTTATTTATTTATTTATTCTGGGGGGGTGTAATCTCTTTTACTGGAAGGGCGGCGGTATGATCTAATGCTGCTATAGATCCCATACATTCTGTAAGCAGCTCATCTTTATGCTGACGGGTTGTCTCCAGTAAATGAGATTTTCATGATCTGAAAAGCTGTTCTGGTCACATCCAGGAATCAGCATTTATGGGGCAGGTTGAATGACTTAACAATGAATACTAAACATATGGGCTGTGAAGTGGTGCAGTCGTTAGCGTTGTTGCCTTGCAGCAAGAAGGTCCTAGGCTCACATTCCGGCCTGGGGTGTCTCTGCAAGGAGTTTGCATGTTCTAACAGTGCCTGCATGGGTTCTCTCCGGGTACTCTGGCTTCCTCCCACAGTCCAAAAATATGACTGTCAGGTTAATTGGTCTTTCTAAATTGTCCTTAGGTGGGAGTGTGTGTGTTTGATTGTTTGTCCTGTGTGTCTCTGTGTTGCCCTGCGATGGACTGGCAATCAGTCCAGGGTGTTCCCCGCCTGCTTAACCGAAGACTGCTGGAGATAGGCACCAGCCCCCGCAATCCTGCGTCGATAAGTGGGTTAAGAAAATGGATGGATGATACTAAACATCTCACATGAAGCAATTTCAGCAGTTTTTTTCTTCACGGTTTCAGTACCTTCCAGAATTTTAGCACTCTGTCACTTTAAAGAGCAAGTCACCCCAAAATCAACTTTTTTTTGCTGATAAACTACATAAACAAGTGTCTAATCGTGCTACAGACACGTGTGGTCAATAATTTGGCACTTCAGTGCATCTTAGCTAAAATTTAAATATTCTGCCTAAAACTGTCAGTGTTGCGCTGTCGTCAGGGAAAAATTCTGCACTGTATCTGAATTTAAATCTGCCACCGCTATTGGCCAAGAGGTATGCTATGATGTTAGCTGGTACATTATGATGTCACAATGCCATTGTGAGCCTGTGTGTGTGTGTGTATTTGTTAGCGGCTCCACCCTCTCGGTCTGCCAGGCAACAGCATTTGTTGCACTTTTCAAACATGAAGTGGGAGTGGAGTTAGTAAATTGTAGGGGGTGACTTGCTCTTTAAGAAAACAGCCTAGCTGCTCTATTAGTTGAGAAGTGTAGATATCCGGGAGGAGCTTGAAGTAGAGCTGTTGCTGCCATAGTTTTTCCATCATGCCATCTGTTTTCCGTTTAATTTATCATCCAGTAATGAAAGTTTTCAGCTTTTACCCACATCAACTGCTAAAATGCCTCAACTGAACCACATAGTATTTTTTTTTTTTCTTGCCAGGAGCTGGGTATGATGACTCCACAGCTGGAGAGGAAAAGGATGATGATGCCGTCTTTCCTGGAGGATATTATAAGTACGTGTGGAACATCAGCCCTAAAGATGGTCCGACTATCAGCGATCCAGACTGCCTGACGTACTCGTACTCCTCCCAGGTGGACACAGTCCGAGACATGAACTCAGGACTCATCGGGGCCCTTCTCATCTGTAAATCAAGTCAGTAAGCTAAAGGAAGAAAGACTATCATGTCTGAAAATTTTAGATTAGGTCATTTATTCTAGAAAAATCCAGATATTTCAGCCATTTAGACCAATTTAGGTGTAACATATTCCTGTTTAGAAATTTGGTTTTACTATGGGTGCATTTTATTTCTCCAATAAATCTTGAATCTATAAAGAAAGCAAACCAAACAAGAAAAATGCTTCTAATTATTTTTTGTTTGGTGGTGGTGGTGGTGGTGGGGGGGGCTCAATGGTCAAAATAGCAGTTAAACTGAGTGGTTTCAATCTTACATCACAAGTTTCACAACTTGTTTGATACTCAGGGTGAAGAAAACATCACTTTTACATGTTTCATGTTAAAAAAATACAAAACGGTGCAACATTTTAACCTAATAATGAGCCTTTATTGACAGTCAAAGACATTTTTTAACCCAATTTTGCTAAAATCTTCAAAAATAAAGAGTATTTCCCCCTTTCAGACTCTGCTAATACACTTTATTTGTGTTTCTGTTCTTACAGGTGTGTTCACAGATGAAGGCCATAGGAGATCTCCTGCCTTCGTCCTCCTGTTTGCAGTATTTGACGAGACTAAAAGCTGGTATGGAGAGAGGAGAGAGCGGATGACCAGTGAGAAGTTCAGGAGGAGCAGCAGCATGAAGGAATACCACACCATCAATGGATACGTCAACTCTTCGTTACCCGGTAAAGAAACCGTCTGGTCCAGATGGAGAGCTTGTTCTATGAAGGCATGTTAAAATGTTAAGTGTTTCTGACTCTGGGCCCATTGCACCAGCAGCTGCTCATATCTGATCGGCACAGAGGTTTACGTGTGTGTGTGGTTGTGTGTGTGAAGGTTTGACGTTGTGTCAGGGCCGTGACCCTGTGTCATGGCACATGATTGGGATTGGAACAGCGCCAGAAATTCACTCCATTCGCTTCCAGGATCACTCTCTGCAGGTAAAATGAGTCTTTAGATGTTTGCTCCACATCACATCCTGAGTTTAGTTTCTGTAAATGAAACATTTGGCTTTGCTTGGAGAGGTGTGATTCAACATTATAAATTTAGAAAGTTAAAAATAGTCATCTTTCTCTAAACTCAGACTGAGATAAGCATCCTTGAATATATGTTTGAGAATTTTGCAGAACTTTACAAAATAAAGAAAATGATCATTCATGCCTTAAAGGTTTTTAAATGATAGTTTCTACTGTAAATATATTATTATAAGCAGAAATTTTGTTATTAAATGGTATTAGGCCAGATACTTTTCCATTCACTTGACTCACTAGATGTGTAAGATGTAAATAAAGGTGAAAATGATCAAATAAATTATATAATAAAAAAATCTTTATATTCTGAAATGGGAAATTTAATCATTATTTTATTTTAAAAATGGTTAAATTTACTATTTTAAAATACATTTTACACATTTTTCTGGCTGTTGAGATTCAAATGTGACTGCATATGTATGTAAATGCAGACATACAGTACTAGAAAGGTACAGTCTAACTCCATCAAACCACATTTGTGTTCAGTTTTTAAAAGTGTGGAACTCTAAAAAAAAAACATAGTTTTTAATTAATATTTTTTCATGCAGGCTAAACATGAAAATAGTCCCCTACACCAATCTCCTGCTTTAGCTTCTGATAGAAAATAGAACCTGAAACTCTAGGATTAGAAAAGGCAGACAGATCTACATCACGCTGTCACTAACATTCATGGACTCGCCCATCTTGACCCACGACGGAGAAGGCTGTGGTTGATTAAATGTTCAGGAAACAGCAGAGGACGTCCCGACTAGTAGAAGCTAGCCGTTAGCATTAGCAATTCCACCACACAGAAAAAAACTTGTGTTATTTGTGGAGATAAAACATCAACGTTGCAGGTCGATGGTAAAGTCGAGTTGCTGTTATCCGATCCAAGATGAGATGTCCAAATATCAGGAAGTAAGACCCCAAATCCTGATGCAGACTTGCCTGTGCTGATGCACACAGTTCTGGGCTTATTTTTGCTTTAAACACAGTTTGCAAGGCATTAATTCCTACCAAGGTCCACTGCAAATGTATTGATTAAAAACAAAATTAAAATGTTGTCTTTGACAGTAAAGAAAGAGGTCTAATATTCCTTTCCAAAACGCTGATGAAACTGACGTTCCTGTAAAGTAAATATGCTGCTAATATAAATGCTGTTTTTCCAGGTGCTGACTCATCGTAAAGTCACGGTGGAAGTGACTCCGATGACGTTTGTCACAGCAGAAATGAGACCCACCACCTTAGGCCGCTTCCTCATCAGCTGTCAGATACACGCCCATCGTTACGGTAAAAAACACAGCAGCAACAACCTGTTCACTTTGATTATATTTTAACGTACCTATTATTGTTATTTTTGTTTAAACAGATGGCATGAATGCTCTGTTCACGGTGGAAAAATGCCCTGAACCCATCACCGTGCCAAAAACGAGTCTGCGCAACGTCCAAAACAACGATTACAGTGAAGAGGAGGAGGAAGAGTCAGATGATCTTTTCAACACCGTCCACTATCAGCCCAAGAAGCCACAGGTCCAAGCCAGAGCCAGCAGAGGACAGCAGCCCACTATCTGGGAGCATTTTATCGCTGCTGAAGAAATCACCTGGAACTACGCTCCTCATCTCAAACCCACAGACAGGTGCAGGCAGGAATCAGAGGGTGGGAGAAGGGCAAAGACAGAGTTGTGATCTAATTCATTTCTCTGTCTTACGCCAGTGAGCTGCAGTCCAGATATCTGCCTGCTGAGCCTCATCACCTCCACTATGAGTATAAGAAGGTCGTGTACGTGGAATACACAGATGGGTCCTTCACCCAGAGGAAGAACGCTGACATCACGCTGCTGGGTCCAACTCTGAAGGGAGAAGTCAACGATCAGCTTCATGTGAGTGACTCAGACTCGCCCCAAGCTTTGGAGAAAAAAACTAAGATTAACCTCGTTTTTATAAAAATTAGAAAGTCAATTTAATGCATGTAGCTCTTGTAAAAGCACACTCTTCCTGTGTGGATTCCTGCTGATCACCTTTTGGTTTGACCTTTTTTATTTTTATTTTTTCAGATCACATTTAAAAACTTGGCTAGTCGCCCTTTTAATATTTACCCTAATGGCCTGTCGAAGATCTACCCGCAGCAGAGGTCCAGGAGCGGTAAGTTAAACCAAAGCTGCACTTCAGCTGAACGGTTTCAGGCTTCAGGGACTTTTTAAGTAACTAAAATATTTCTTCAGGCGTCTTGTGTCAGTGAAGTGGTGAGGTAATAGTGGAGATGAGGAAGTCAGCTTCTGCCGCAGCACACAACCTGGCAGCGTGGCACCTTTCCACGGAGCATAGCGTTCTCAGAGGACATGTTGGCATTTAAACTAGCAATGTCCGATATTATAATTCCAGTTTTGAATTAAAATGTAATATTAGAAATTATCACTTTTGATTTTTACTCTTCAATGACACAACTTTTGCATACCACGCACTACTTCTACTCTCAAAATATCAAAATGACAAATCCAAGGTATAATTTTTTTTTTTGGCACAACTTCTGAAGAAGAAAAATGTAACCTGTGTTTTGGACGTTTGTCGAGACTGTCTTAGAGCAAATGAGGCTCAGCTGCTGCAATGACAAAATAAATATGGCACTTTTTCCATTGCCAAGCCCAAATTTGAGTAGCTGTGATGTTTTACACAGAAAATGTTAAGTATGCATAACTAGAAGATACGTCTTATTTCACTCACTGCAACACAATGTATCTACATTCCAAAAAACAGCTGCAGAAAATGAGTTGCGCTCCATGGAAGTTCCTCCCAACGGGACGTTTGGCTACATTTGGAGTCTAACAACAGACGACGGACCCTTGGAAGGAGACCCCCAGTGTCTGACCCAGCTGTACCAAAGCACCATTGCTCCTGAGCAGGACCTGGCCTCTGGGTTGGTGGGCACCCTTCTCATTTGCAAATTCGACGCCATAGACGTGAGAGGAAAGCTGGTGAGAGGACTGGTCAACCTTCAGCTGCGCGACAGTGCTTAAAAGTCATGCTGTTCAAAATGCTTTTTGTGTTTATTGTCCAATGCAGTTGGGACCTGATAAGAAGATAGACTTGATATTTGCTGTGTTTGATGAAAACAAAAGTTGGTACTTCAAGCAAAACATGCAGAAATCACGCCTCAGCTCGTTCAGTGATGCAGACCCTGAATTCTACCGGTCTAATGTCATCTACAGTGAGTTTAACACAGACCTGCAGTACTATATTCATCATGTTTGTGAGTGGAATTGTAATCACTCATTTAGAAATTATCAACCTGTTGCTCAGCCGAGTTCATGCACAAAAACACTCTTCTCAGGTATAAACGGCATCATGTTCAGTGGGCGTCGGTTCGTCATGTGTCAGACTGATGTGTCCTTCTGGCATGTGGCCAACGTGGGAACGCAGAGCGACTTCCTCTCTGTCTATTTCAGTGGGAACCTGTTCCAGTACCAAGGCCTCTACCAGTCTGTCCTCACCCTATTTCCCATGACTGCTGTAACTGTTCCTATGGAAACAGATGTCATCGGTGAGGCGAGATATTTACATTATTTACTATTAAACCACTGTATGCAAATGGTCGTCTTAAGTCACTTTAAATCACTGTTTTGTTTAACAGGTGAGTGGGAGATAAGCGCCTTCGACAACAGCCTCAAGAGCCGCGGCATGAGTGTCCAATACACCGTTCTTCCCTGCAACAGCGGAGAGATCTCATTGGTTGATCACGATGAAGATGAAGACATCTCTGATTACTATGACGACATCCAGCCAAGAGGCTCAAGACCCCAAAATGGCACATTGTTAGTCCGAGTGTGCAAGAAACTCGTCTCTAACAAGACAAATGTAACTTTGAACAAAACTGAGCGTGTTGCATGTGAGGTTAGGAGAGTCCCGGTGGCATCACTGGGAGAGACAAAGCCATCCAAAGATGCAGGAATACCAGAAGATGTTCTGCAAAAGATAGAGAGAGATGACGATTGGACAACTCGTCACAATCGGACTGGAAAAAGGCAGACAAGACAGTTGGACGGTAACTGGACTAATGGAGATGCCGATTTTGGAGCCTTAGATGAAGAAATTCTAATGAAAGTTGAACGGGAAGATGCAGAAAACATGACTGATACTGACTCGGAGGTAATGACTAAAGGGAGGAATGAGGAGAACAGAAGGACTATAGAGGATGCCATCTTACCAACCAGGGAATCGTCAATCGGTGAAAAGATCTCATCTGCAGATTTTATATCTTTATACGACATGAATAATACCGTAGTAACTCAGGACTACTTAAGTACTGAGCCTGAGAGGCTTACAGATGTGTTACTGGATCTGGAATACAACTTCACTGATGCTAACGCTACAGATGTTAATCTGTCTCTCGATTACGACGACTACAGTGATGAGGTACTTTTACGCCCGTGCTTTTCTGTAAATACCATAACTTCAGTTCATCAACGTGAATGCTGAATGTTTTCTGCAGGGAAACAGCTCTTCGGATGTTTTAAGTAGTGATTACTTGAACATTCGCTCTGGAGAATTCAGACCCCGTCACTACTTCATCGCTGCAGAGGAGATCACTTGGGACTATGGCATCAAGACACCACTTCAGTTCATCAAACCTGAGTAAGCGTCCAAGATTCATGTGTCTATTTCAGTGGTTTCCAACCTATTGGGTCCTTTTGGCCTGTGGGACTCCAGAGGCAGCTGATGGGTACCAGCAGTCCAAGCAGAATGCAGCTCAGGTAGTGGGAGGAGCTTGGTGGGACCCTGGAGCAACACTTCTGTATGGCTTTGAAGAGCTTGTAGTCTACCTCAGGAGGTGAAAGCAGTTCACTGCCAACACTGTTTATAGTGGGGACAGCGTCCTGCTGACCTCAACTCGAGACGCTGTAGATCAATGGGCGGAGTCCTTCGAAGACCTCCTCAATCCCACCAGCACGTCTTCCAGGAGGAAGCGGAGACTGGGAACTTTGGGTTAGGGTATCCAAACGTAGGTCACTGAGGTGGTCAAAAAGCCCCTTGTGGCAAAGCCCCAGGGTGGATGAGTGGGAGTTCGGCCAACCAATCTACAGTACATGTGTTTTGTGGATTTGGAGAAGGCATTCAACCGCCGCCCTAGGAGGGCCCTGTGAGGGGTACTCTGGGTGTTTGGGGTACCAGAACCCTTGATACAGGCTGTTAGGTCCCCGTACAATTGTGTGAGAGCTCAATCTGCATTCCTGGCAGCAAGTCGGGCTCTTTCCCGGTGAGAGTTGGACTCCGCCACGGCTGACCTTTATGACTGATTCTGCTCATAACTTTTATGGGCAGGATTTCTAGATGCAGCAAAGGTGGGGAGAGGATCCGTTTTGGTGGCCTAAGGATCAGATCTCTGCTTTTTGCAGATGATGTGGTCCTGTTGGCTTCATCAGAGCATGATCTCCATGATTCGCTGGAGCGGTTCGCAGCTGAGTGTGAAGAACCTGGGATGAGAATCAGCTCCATTAAATCAGAGACCATGATCTTGAATCGGAAAAGGGTAGAATGCCTTCTCTAGACCAGGGATGAGGTCCTGCCCCAAGTGGAGGAGTTCAAGTATCTCAGGGGCTTGTTCACGAATGAGGGAAAAATGGAGAGTGAGATCGATAGGTGGATTGGTGCTGCGTCTGCATTGATGTGGGCATTCCAGTCTGTTGTGGTGAAGAGAGAGCTGCGCCAGAAGGCAAAGCGCTTGATTCCTACCCTTATCTATGGTCACCAGCTTTGGAAGGTTACCGAAAGAACGAGATTGCAGATACAAGTGGCCGAAATTACTTTTCTCCGCAGGGTGGCTGGGCTCTCCCTTAGAGATAGGGTGAGAAGCTCGGTCATCCGGGAGGGGCTCGGGGTAGACCCGCTGCTCCTCTAAATCAGGAGGAGCCAGTTGAGGTGGCTCAGGCATCTGATTAAGATGTCTCCTGGAAGGCTTCCCTGTGGCTTTGCACTTCATTGTTGCCAGTCTCTTGTATTTATTTTTGGTTCTCTTGGGGCCTTTTTGACCAATGCTTGTCTTTTACAGTTACCCACCTACGCCTAAAAAGTATAATTAATAATTCGACTCTAAATTGTGTTTTGACTGCTTCAGAGATACACGTCGAGGGATGAGGAAGTTCTTGCCTGAATATAAAAAAGTGGTGTTTCGAGCTTACAGGGATAGAGACTTCCAATATCCCGTTAGCAGAGGAGAATTTCAGGAGCACTTGGGAATCATGGGGCCTTTAATAAGAACTGAAGTTAACGATCTTCTCACTGTGAGTAATTCTGCACACTTTCTGTGATTTAAATTATTATTATTATTTTTTTTTTGGATTTTGTTTGATGTGTCCCAACCTTTCTTGTCAGGTGGTCTTTCGGAACAAAGCAAAGAGGCCATTCTCCTTTCATCTCCATGGAGTGTACGACCGGAGTCAGGGGGCTGGCGTTGTACTGACCAGTTCTTCCTCTGCGCCAGCCGGAGTTCCCGGGGATCCTGTTCCTCCTGGAGAAGCTCGGACTTATAACTGGAAAATAAACAAAAAACAAGGACCCGCTGAACCAGAATTTGACTGCAAGACTGGAGCGTATTACTCCACTGTGGACAAGGTCTGATAAAATCCAATCGTTCTTCCCATGTGAATACGTAAATTAAATAGTAATTTTTCCTGCCATATGCAGGAGAAGGACCTTAACTCAGGTCTGATTGGTCCACTGGTGATCTGTAAATCTGGTACCCTGAAAACTGGCCGGAACAAGAAGCCAGACATCCGGGAGTTCTCCCTACTTTTCCACACCTTCGATGAAACTAAAAGCTGGTACCTGGAGGAGAACCTGCAGCAGTACTGTGCACCACCCTGTTGGGCCAACCCAAAGGACCCCTGGTACCACACTAGCAACAGGTTTGCAGGTAAAGTTTGCTCATGCTCCCAGGATCCTGTCAGGTTCTTGATCTGAATTAATACATGCGATCTTCTCCAGCAATAAACGGTTACGTGGCAGAGACTCTTCCTGGTCTGATCGTGGCTCAGCACCAGCCAGTGAGGTGGCACCTTCTGAATGTGGGAGATGACAGGGAGTACCACGCTGTGCACTTCCATGGTTTACCATTCACTCTTCACACTCAACAAGAACACCGTATGGGGGTCTTTAGCCTCTTTCCTGGTAAACACACACACACACACACACACACATAAAAAACAAGCAGGTTTTTATTTGAGCATTTATACAGCTTTTATAATCTTAGCTGGTTTTCTTATTTAGGTCCACTTAAAGAGTCCATTACTGAAACATGTTTTCATCAAATAGGTTTTAGTTGTCTTTGCTAGTGTGTAATGCCTATTTCTTGCATCAGACTTTGCCTCATAAGTTGTATTGTATTAAGGCGTGTATGGGACTGTAGAGATGAGACCCCCCACCGTCGGGACATGGCTGGTGGAGTGCACCATCGGAGACTACCAGCTAGCCGGAATGAGGGCCAAGCTGTTGGTTTATAATCCAGGTAGGTGCACATGTGTCATTTTGGCACCTTCTGCCTCTGAAAGGCAGATACATGTTTTTGCAAATTTAAGTAAAATTTAAAGAGTGACACTAGCAGAACAGGAATATTCTGTTTTATCATAACATTTCCATGTCAGGAACTTTCCAACAACGTACACACACACAGTAATTGTGTTACTGCAAAAGTCAAACGTTGCCTTTGAAATATTTGAAGTTGGAAGTAGTGAAGCTACTGAAACAGACACTATTTAAAATACTGTATACTGATCACAACATGTAGCTTTTTGACCTGCTGAATTGAGCTTTCTGACCTTCAGATTGTGCCTTACCTCTGGGAATGAAATCAGAAAGAATCGAAGACTCACAAATCACAGCGTCAGATCACGCAGGTAAGACAGCTGGGCTTTTAAACTCTGTACACCAGGAGGGATTTTAATACCTGACAATAAAAAAGAAGAGTTTGTAAGAAATATGTAGTCCTCTGAATAACAACACCTGAGCTTTATGGAGTCAGAAATTCAGGAAATCCCTCTGGTGAGATGGATTTTGGTTATGTTTACGTCTTTATAACCAGGCGACTGGGAGCCGAGGCTGGCGAGGCTGCACCAGTCTGGTTTCATCAACGCCTGGGTGGGCAGAAGTGGCAAGTCGTGGTTACAGGTGAGACGGCAACTTCTTAAGCTTTTATGTCACATCAAATATAGCATGTCCTAATGTCAGGAAACTCAGATATAAACAGTGGTGACTAAGCCTTCAGGTGATGATGATGTTAAAGTTAAAGTCCCATTAGTCATCATCACACACTGATGAAATTACATCTCATTTCTTTGACCCATCCCCGTGGGGAGTGGTGAGCTGCAGCTGTGGCTGTGTGGTCATGTGTGTGTGTGTGTGTGTGTGTGTGTGTGTGTGTGTGTGTGTGTGTGTGTGTTTTCAGGTTGACCTTCTGAAACCAACCCTGCTGCATGGTATTCAGACACAGGGAGTGCAATCAAAGCTGAGGGATCACTACATCACCTACTTCTTCATCTCCTACAGCCTAGATCAACAGACCTGGACCACTTACATAGGAAACAACACCAGGAACAAGGTTGGTTCACAACTCTGTGCACAGTTACAGCAAAGCATGGATTGTTTTAAAATCAAGTCTGAATTTTTTAAAATCTTCTGCAGAGCTGGTTTTTGCAGCAAATCTAATCCTGAAGATCACCCGCTATTTAAACGAATCCAAACATGTTTTGTTGCACTGAAATGTTCCATTTGCAGTTCTTTGAGTCTCATCCTTCTGCTAAAGGTCTTGTATGGTAACGTGGACAGCTCCAGGGTCAAAGAAAATCGCTTCTATCCACCATTCGTGGCTCGCTACATCAGGATCCAGCCACGCAACTACGTGTTAAAGCCCGCTCTGCGGATGGAGCTGCTGGGATGCGATCTGAACAGTGAGTTGCACCGATGACTCAGATTAGCGAATGTCAAAGCACCAAACATGACTCAGCTTGTGTGTGTGTGTGTGTGTGTGTGTGTGTGTGTGTGTGTGTGTGTGTGTGTGTGTGTGTGTGTGTGTGACCAGGTTGCTCCCTCCCTCTTGGACTCCAGCTGAAGTCGATGCCAGACAGCAGCTTCAGAGCCTCCTCTTTCCATTCATCTCTGCTGCGAGCCTGGAGCCCACACTTTGCTCGGCTTCACCTGACTGGAGGCGCCAACGCCTGGAGGCCAAAAGTTAGCTCATCTTCATTCATTGAAAAAAAAACATGCAGAACAAACCATGATATTTATTATCTTAACAAATAGAGAGCAGCATATTTCTGAAAGAAAGACTTATTTTTGCTTACAATCTGAGTTATTAAAGGGTGTCACACCATGGGTGGAGACTTACTTCACCCACATTTCCTGTTAGAAAAATGGGCCAAAAAGAGGCGTCGCTTGGTGGGCAGAGAGGGCAACACTGACGAAATGATTGATATCCACCCCCTTTTTTTTGCTCAGTCGAAAAAATGTCTCGTTAACAAGCGTGCACACTCACACACTCGCACACAGACAAAGCAGACTCACCGCTTTGGAGAAGAGCAAACACAGAAACTGCAGCAGGCTGGAGGAGGTTTTTTTAAAGGAGACAAACAGCTCCGGACAGTAACGTTTTATATCGACTTGTGATTGGCTGAGCCAGCTGGAGATGCGGCTAGAGTCCATTGCAGTGCAGCCACATAGTACGGTACTGACAATGTCACCCTGCACCTGTGTAGCCATCAGCTGTGGCTGCTTCTAAATCAATTTGGAGCAGGGGCGGATTTAGGACTGAAAAAGATCCGGGGCTTAACACATGTGCGCGCGCACATACACACACGCATAACACGTACTAGTCTTTTCATAAAACATTCGGGGCTTGAGCCCAAGTAGCCGGGCCTAACGCCGCCCCTGATTTGGAGCAGAGTTTTAACCTGAAGATGGATATAATTAAGGTTTTGCACTGAAATATTAAACTTTAAGTAAGTTGCACTAAAGAATTATGACTACACATACACTACAGCACTATTAGACGCTCATCTATACAGGCTAGCTATCAGCAAAATAATAAGTTGATTTAGGCATTACTCGCTCTTTAACTTTTTTATGCTTGGCTCCTTTCCTCCTCTTCAGCTTATCAGTGTAGCACTTTCCAGAGCTGACCTCTAGAGGTGTGATCTGTTCTCGTGTCAAATAGCTGTGCTGCTATCAGCACTTGACAGCCACAAAGAAAGGTCAACCCCTTTGACCGTTTACAATGACCACTAAAGATCTCAACACATAGAGAGTATTTAATGAAAGCTCTCATTCACTTGTATTATTTTCAATAAATCTGCAGTGGTCTCTAGGATGAATGAATGCCGTGTGAGTCATTATCTGTGGGAGAAAAAAGCTCTGAGACTCCTGTTTCAGGGAGTACAAGTTAGCCAGGGGAGAAGGGAGTAGAAAACCGCAGGATTTGAAGTCTTACTCATCAATATTCATGATATTCAGAAATATCTCCTGTGATTGGCTAAAAGAGCAACACAACTCCACCACTGACTCTGTTTGCTCTGCAACGTTGATGTTTTACCTCCACAAATAACACAAGTCTGAGGGCGTTCTGCTGTGTTGTGAAGTTGCTTATGCTAACTGTTAGCTTCTACAAGCTGAGACGTGCTCTGCTCTCTCGTGGATGCTAACCCAACAACAGCCTTCCCCGTCATGAGCCAAAATTATGAGTTTATGAATGCTAATTTTCAGTGTGACAGTGTTTTATTCTGACCCCGAGCGTTTTACCAGCTATTTTCTGTCAGCGGCTAATGCAGGAAAGACCTTTTTAACCTTCAGCCTGCATGTTAAATTCAGAGTGACCGATAGTCATTGAAAAATAAGTTCAACTGTTTCTTAGTAAACTTCATCTTTAACATATATTCTTTGTGTCAAAATTCATCTCAGAGCAACAACCCTCACGAGTGGCTGCAGGTCGACTTGGGGAAAGTGAAACGGCTCACAGGAGTCATCACCCAGGGGGCTCGATCGCTGATGACCCAGATGATGGTGACTGAGTTTTCGGTTGCTTATAGTCCAGACGGACATTCCTGGAGAACTGTGCTGGAGAGGGGCTCTCAAGGAGAAAAGGTAGGTAACATGTGTTTTTCAGCTCATGGTCTGAGTCAGCTCCGCCAGGAGTTGGGAGGCAGATTCCAGTATGATTCAACCGGATATTTGATAAATCAGCAAAAAATCTGCTTAGCGTTTTCTCAAAATATTAATTCCGTAATGTCTCCACAGATCTTTTTAGGAAACAATGATCCAGACGAGGAAGCGCTGAACGTTTTTGACCCTCCCTTGTTCGGCCGCTTCATTCGCATCTACCCGCGTGGGTGGATCAACGACATCGCCCTCCGCCTGGAGGTGCTGGGCTGCGACACGCTGCAGTGAATCTGACTCCACGAGACAAATGTGCTGCAGATGAGGAGATTTAAAATTCCTTTGGCTTCCTCTGAAGTTTTACAGGAAATGAAAAATGATAAATTGTTATGCTGGGCACTTAAATGACATAAAATCTGTCTGAAGTTATTACCTGTAGCCAGGAGATTGTTTACATTTTCACTTTTTTGTGTGAAATATGTTGAAGGCTTTAGTTGTATTAAAAGTCGTGATAAACTATGATAAAGACTTTTGTATCACATAGCTGTGGTAGCAGCTACCTTTTGAATGTGAGCTTGTGTAAATATTTCTGAAAAGTTTGTATGTTCTGACTAATTCTGATAAACTACAAGTTTAACAAGAGTTTCTGTTCAATTATGTCATCGCTACACATAAGCACATAAACACTAAGACGCATGCCAAACAGAACAGGTTCCCAGAACACTTCCCCGTGCTTTTTATTATTTTTCCACATCTCTTTTTGCCAGAATGTTCCTAAAACGTTGTTTTGGCTTATCCTCTTCTATCCAGGACCTCCTGGGAGAACAAAAGTCAACCGTTTAAAGATGTAGCCATGCACAAAAGGAAGCAAACTCCAAACAGACTTTATCACCTCATTATCAGACAGGAAGTTTCCACGTGAGAAGAGAGGAGGAGGAGGAGGAGGGTTGGTGTTGTTTTGTTTGGAGGGCAGATCGGACAGGACCCGTGTTGGCAGAGATGTAGCAGTGGCGCTCTGTACCCACCTGGCTTTCACACTTATCTCTCTGGAAACCAAAACAAAGTTAGCAGACAGAGCATCTGCATCCATCTCCAGCTGAACGGTGCGTCAGACACACAATGGATAGCAGAGATGGAAGCAGATCACCTAACAGCGTGTGAACGCAGCAGAAATAACAAATACAGACCGATTTCTGTCAAGGCTGCACTTCATTGCTGAGTCTCATCAGCTGGAATAAAAAGTAACTGTTCTTTAGAGTCTGAGGTTTTATGTAAAACTCATAGAGTGTGAAAAGTGTGTAGAAGTACTTTCTTCATAAATGTTTAAACAGTTTTCTCTCGCTTTACAACTTTTGTCAATTTCCCATCTTACTCTTCCCACTACTCTTCGTCTCATGGAAGCTTGATGCTTTCTGAATGTCTCAGACTGAGGTATAAACTCTGTCCCGACCTTTGAAGACCACTGATTATTTTTCCCCCGATCATTTTTATACATAACGTGTTAGCAAGTCATAGGTGACTTTGTTAGATAATATCTCATGAACCACTGGAGGGTGTTTAATGAAACGTTCTGAGATTATTTGTACGTCTATAACTGATTAACATTTGAAGACCAAAAAGGTTTTTAACTTGGTCACTTTTATAGACATTGATTGAAGTATTAGGAGAAAGTAATTTTACGTTGAGGCTAAACATTTTGACACAGTGGCCAAATTTGCTAAGTTGAAAAAATACTCAAAAATAACACATTTAAAATAAAAAAATGTGAAAATCATTTTAGTGAGGTCTTTTTCTCAACAAAGCATCAATCGTGTAATGTTTTAATGTAATATTTAGGTTTTAGTGGGAATGGATCTTTAAATCTTTGGAGACACGAGACATGAAAGGAACCTCGTACATTTGAAAGTAATTATAAATAATTTTAGTCCATTATCTGCAACAATAATGAGATCTGTGTCACTCTTTCTTCAGTAACATTTGCTGCTTTTTTGTCAAGTTTAATGAATAATGCCCACAAGTTTATTATTCAATGCAGTGTAGGTTTGTAGTCATATTTATTATGAAATTTATTTAAAAGTAAATAATACGATTAAAAAAATATTTTGTATTTCTACTTATCTACATTACGTTTTTTGGCCTCAAATTTTAAGTGTCTATCTGCATCAACAGCCTAATGCAACAGCGAACTTTTCATTCTTTAACTGCAGTCACCATGGGTGGTGGGTAACATGAGATAGGGACTGCAGAACCGATCTGACTATTATAAGGAACTTGTTTATAGCAGGAAACTATAACCTGGACCCTTTGTGACAGGGTTGCATCTAATCAAGACAACCTTTATAACACAATAGAAGCTAACGACGTCAATGACTCCTCGGGCCCAGGGAGGAGGGGAACTCATGGGTAGTTTCAGCTGGTTCAGCCAAAGTTTGTAAGCTTGACCCTCCCAGATTCCAGTCAGAATTGACAAAGCTCCTCGGATGAGTAGCGGGACGTGTTCAAAAAACCAAAGAAGTCCAGTTGCCTTCATCTGAACCCTTTGGTCATTACCATGACCTGGATGACTGAGAACCCTCATCAGCACCTCTGTCACAATAACTTGCACGTTGTCAAGTTTGTAAAATGTGCTAGAACAGTAACTTATGCCATGCAAAACTCACTCAGAATAAATACTAAAACTAAATAATTAAATTTATAAAAGGTATTTATTAGCTCGATCTAATACTGGTAACTTATCAAAAACAACAGTTGGATTTTATATGCTGACCTTTGGTCGAGATGAGCCTCCCTATGATTCAGTGCTGGCATGTTGGGATGTATGTTCGGGCCGTAGAATTTCTGCTCCACTTCAGGGCATTGTCCTGATGTAAAACCAGATTGCTGTGCTTCAGATTTGGCTCTATTGATGTCCAAATGAGTTATTGGTTGATTCAGTACCCTGGTGTCATATAGCTACAGATACAGCCCAGTTCTATGTAATTATTTGTATGTATGGAAGCACAGTACGTATGTACTTTGCATATTTTCTTATTAAGGGGTAAAAATAAAAACCACACATAACAGTCTTCAGAATGCTGCTTTGTCTTTTGCTTCTTTAAACGTTGCATCAGCACACACTGAAGAAGCCATAAATGGTTCTGAAAACCTTTCTGACTGGGGGGGGGGGGGGGGGGGGGGGGGCTGGTTCAGTTGAGTGCGAGGCCAAGGCGGTGAATGCCACTTCTCTTTCAAACAATGCAGTGGGAGTTTGTTTCTTTGTGTGCTGCTGCTCAGCCAGTGGGAGGAAGGAAAACAGTGACACAACTGAAGATTGACCACCATTTTATCATCCTCCATTACATCACTTCCTTGCCAGTACTGATGAGGCCTGAGCAATCTCTTCTTCTTTTTTTCTTTCATTTTTGTTTTCAGGTTTGATGGGAAAACTCAAACCTGTAACGTCCACACCGATCCTGATAAGGATCAAAACTAAAGTGCATTTCCTGTTGCCTGGATGACACATTAACTCATTTTCCTGGTTAACAGCCGTGCTACGAAGCTTGCTGCTCAGTAATTGTACTGTGGGGAGTTTTGAAGATTCTTCAAATTTCCATTGTGATGACACAAGCAAAACTCCCTAAAATTAGAGGCGTTTAAAAGAAACAAGGCTTGACATTCAGTTTCACAGGAAATTATAACTTTAGCAAACTACATAAATGTTTGTAATCACGTAATTATTGCAAAAATATTCATTTTAATATCAAACATTATACTAATGTTGATGCTTAAACTAAACTTAACTGATTTAATGCTGTACAACTGAAACTAGATTTCAAATTCCTTAAATTTGATTGCAAAATATCCCATTTGTGTAGATCTTGTAGATTTGGTTTATTTATAACGGAGGCACTTTTTGGATGGGATATAAAAATACACCAGGCACTCTCTCCTTAAAACCTTTCAAATTCCTTTATTGCACTTTTTTTAATTTGGACTGATCGAAAACACCAACACATTTTGGCATGACTCCCCAAGGCATCCTGAAAACGCCTCCCTGATGAGTTTTTGATTAGTCAAGATTTTAAAATGTCATCAAAAAGCATTTTGACAGGTTTTCCAAATGAGTTCCATGGAGTCTTTTTGGCACACGATTAGAGACTTTCTAGGTTTGGGCTTTTTATTTTATTTATTTATTTATTTCTTAGCTTCTGTCACAATGAATCTTTCTAATATGTTCTTTTCTATGAATTGAAAGAAGTCAGAAATGTTTTTTTACGCCGAAACGTGTTTTCACCACGGAAGCTCTTAAATGGAATCTTGTCCGTGAGACTGTGGCGACCTCTACTGGAGAATCTGCAGTGTTACAGTAATCCAAACAAGATCCTGGTTGTTTATCAGTTGCACGTTTAACACTGAATGAATGAATAAATAAACATATTTGTACTAAACTTCAATTTAGATTAATAATATATCATTTTCTTTGAGTAACTAATTAATTGTGTAACTAACTTGCTGACTCATGGCCAGGACTCCCTTGGAAAAGAGGTTTTTATTCTCAATGAATGAATGAATGAATGAAATCTTTATTCAAACATTTTTATACGTGCAAAAAAATTATAATGATAATAATAATGTCATTATATAAAAATCGCACTGATAATCACACAATAAATTAAATTTTCATAAATGGGACTTTCCTTTTGTAAATAAAGATTGAATAAATAAATGAGTGACAGAGTATTGATAATTACTGAACGTTTAATAGTAATAAAGTTGTGGAGCATTGAAAAAACTGTTTTTAATGATTATTCCTGATTATTATCAGTAACTCTGAGTTTTTCAGTCTGAATATGAAAATAGTCTCCTACATCTATCTCCTGCATTAGCCTCTGATAGAAAATAAATGGTGAAACGTCTAGGATTTGAAAATCCTGACAGATCTATGTCACCCTTGTGGTGATTTAAATTACATGTTATTTAATGAGCCATAAGGCGTGGGATTCCATAGGAAATATGAAATCCACCTTATGGATCTGTGAGGTTATTTAAACCAGAAGATTGGATCTTTTTAATGCAGGGATTAGATAACCGCTTCGTATTCACTCAGAGACAACAGAAGAGAGAGAGTCAAGTTTAAAAGTTAAGAATTTTATTACTAACAAATTAAACTAGACTGACTTTAAGCACTAAATGTATGGTGTAACTAATGTGGATGAGACGGTGAATGGATGACGTGTGATGTTAATCAGAACCAGCAAATCCGAGGAAGCGATTTGTTCTGATGGGAACTGAAGGTGATGTCTTCACGTTAAGCTTTGGTTAGGAGGTTCATAAAGACATGAGACACCATTTGCCGGTCTACCTACCCTTCGTGGAAGTCCCCTTTAGATCAGGAATGTCGAGGTCTAGCTTGACCTTCTCTGGAACCAAGCCGGTAGGAAAAGCAGCGGTGCCGACCAGTCCAGTCTGTAAGATACTTCCGGGTCATGACAATTTTGTTGGCGTCTTGTGAACTTGATGGTTCAGCTTTTATTCTGAAAGGAACTGTTGCAGCAGTTGGAATAGCAACAAATTTTTCAGCTTGTCGTTGGTTCTTTTTGGTTGAAGAGGATAGTTCAGGATTGGCTACTCCGTCACTTTCTCTGGAACGCTTTGAACTGGCATTAGAGCTGACGTGGCATAGTTTTATACTTCGGATGTTATGGTTTATTGTCGAATGAAAAATTACCAAACACCATCAAAACCACGCCTTCGTCAGATCTGTCAGATTCTGATTGGCTCAGTGAAAGTAATGTGTTATATCTTTTAACGCTACGTGAAATGAGTCCTGTTGGAACATTTAAAGTCATAGTACCATTATATTCTATAGGATTACAATAAAGTAATTAATATTTTGACTTCACAGATTGGTCACATCTTATTTATTGACTAACACTTTGATGGATTAGCTTTATTACGATAGAGTTCTTTGAATAATTAAAAGAAAAGAGTTCATTCTTCATTCTTCTGTTGAGCTGAAAATAAGCAGGTTAGAAGCAATGCATGAGACCTTGAGACCATATCTCATGCAGACTAGTCTTGTGCAGAGAAGGAAAAAAACAGTCATTTCATTCCGTTACACCCTGTCATTTCACGTTCATGGACTCACCCATCTTGACTCACAACGGGGAAGGCTGTTGTTGGTTTAACGTCCAAGAAACCACAGAGAACAACTAGTTAGCAACTCCACCACATAGCAGAACCTCCAGGCTTGTGTTATTTGTGGAGACCAA